AACCCTTCAAAAGTCCAGAGGCAGCCCCCCCGTTGCCACTTTGCTGTCCCCGCTGTGGGAGGCGTCGCTCCCTGAGTCCCGGCCACCGACCGCGAGCAGGAACGCCAGCAGCCACATTGCCGCCATGCGCGGCGAGACCCAGTCGCCTTCTCATCGCTCGCGTCCACGGTGGCTTGTCTGCAGAGAGCCCCCGCCCCGCACCGCCCCTGCATCCGGCCCACCCCTGTGGGCAACCCCTTAGTCCGCCGCTCAGGGCTGACTCGCCTTCTCTCCGCCCTCACATCCAGTCCCTTATTAGCTCTACCTTCAGAATATCTCCAGAAACTTCTCATGCCCTCCACTGCACCCACCATGGTTCAAACCACCTCCCCCTCCCCCTGGGATGACTGCACCCACTGCCTCTGTCCCGCCAGCCCGGACCCAGGAGGCTGGTCCCCAAATGCACACCCTCCAGGCCAGTGCCCGCCCCAAATGCCCCCGTGACTTCCTGTCTCACTCAGAGCCAAGGCCAAGGCCCTGGGGCCCTTCCTCCCTGACGTGGTCTTCTCTCGCCCTTGTTCCCTCCGCTCCAGCCACACCGGCGTCAAACCTGCCACAACGGGTCAGCCTCAGGGCCTGGCACCGGCTGGGTCCCCGCTCACTCCCTGAAAGCTCAACTCAAACGTCACCGTCTCAGCGTGACCCACCCTGACCTGTCCGGGTAAAACAGCACCTCCACGCACACGGTGCTCCCAGAGCGCTGGCTCCATGCGGCACTGGTTTTACTCATTTGTTTGCTTGTCCTTCCCTCCTCACCTGGAGCACACGCGCCAGGAGGGCGGGCTGGCCTCTCCCACTTGCTGCCCCATCTCCCGCTGCGTAGCAGGAGCCTAATGAATACTTACCACTGGGACGTATACACAAATGAAGAAACAATAGCCTTATTATTTTTGTTTGGGGGAGCACAGGAGGTGACTGCCATGGGCTTTTTATCTTTTTATCTTTTTTTTTTAATGGACTAAGGGAGGGAGGGAGGGAAGAAGGAAGGAAGTACCGTCCACTGTTATAAGCATGTCACAGAAGAAAGACGCTCTAGCCTGCTCTAAACGAGCAGTGTGGTCCTCAAGTAACGATGTTTCCCCAGGAAGTCGAGTGGCAGGTCACATCTGCGTGTACACCGCCTGACACCGGCCTCATCTTTCCCTCCGCACACCGGTGACAACCGGCACGCACACCAGCCCAGCCCTCCCACTCTACGTCACTGTGGTTCTTCGCTGGGCAGGGGGAAGGGGGAGATGGTCACGTCTCCGTGCAGGCCCTGCTCCCGCTGACGTGTGGAGCACTCAGACTCGGTCTGGCCGGGCTCCAGCTAGAGAAGCTGGCTCGGGTCCAGGGCTCCGGCTCGGAACAGCAAGGGCCAGGGGGACGCCAGCCTGTGGCTCGTAAACCTCACAGATCAAATCACAGTGAATTCATGCCCACAGCTCCTTCTATTACATTGTCCATGCAGCTGCTAAGTGAAAAATAAGCAGACTTACAAATTCACCTGATTTACCCTCACCATAAGCTGGCAAAGCAGGTTTATCAGCCCTAATGGTATAGATGAACTGGAGGCGAAGAGGGACTTGGAGGAGGGGCACACGGGAGGTGACAGGGCAGGTGCCAGGCACACCTGCCGGGGGCTGCCCCGCCCCCTCTGCTCGCATCAGCAAAGCCCCAGAAGGCGAGCGAGCGGGAGGAAGCGTGCGCTGGGACTTCGCGTCAGAGGCCCGTGCAGCCCTCTTCTTTTGTGCCTTCCTCCCCAGCCCCCTTCCCATCCCTCAGGTCCAGCCCTGGGCCCACCTGCTGCAAAAGGCTGCCCTCCTGCCCTGCCTCATGCCCGGCCGGCGGCTCCCAGCGCAAACTCCGCGAGCCGCGGGGCCCGGGTGAAGAAGCCCTGAGTCCTGCTCTGTGGTAGCAGAGCAAGGGGTCTGGACGCGGGCGCTGCCTCCTCACAGTGCTGAGGCCAATGGTCCACTTGGAAACGATCTGCCGCCTCTTCCCCATCACATTCACAGGCTGTCTTTTTAATTCGGGTTTAGTTCTATTATTAATAACAGCTACCGTTTACCAAGCACCTGCGAGCATTCTATTATTAGGTTTTGTAAGCCCCGTTTTACAGGTGAGAAAGCTAAGGCTCCAGAAATCAAACCTTGTAAGTGGCAAAACTGGGGCTTGAGCCCAGACCTAAAGCTTCTGCCCTCTTCCTGACCACCCGCCCCGCCCCCACCCTGGCCTTCACTCTGGGCCCTGTGAATTTGGCCCGGAGCATCTGCTTTCTATCACAGCTAGACGCCTGACCAGGATGAATGTCACCGTGGGAGCCCCAGCTAAGGAGAAATAAAATCCCAAGCGGCCAAGGAACAAGATCTGCAGACTTCGCCTGAGGGGAACAGCCTGTCCTCTCAAAGCTGGTCTTCGCCCAGGCCGCCCAGGCCTGAGTCCCTCAGCCTGGAAGGCCACCCCGCCCCGCCGCTGCGAGCTCTGATTATTGAAACCCTACTCTTCTCCAAGGCGGGACTCCAGTGCCAGCCAGCGTCTCACAGGCCCCTTCCCTGGCCCGGCCGGTTGGAATTGGTCCTGATCGATGACCCTGTGAACTTGGAAGCAGCCCGGGGCCAGGTCTACCCACTGGCATTCTGTTTCGGCCTCCCAGACGTGGGGGGCAGGTGTCCCCCTCTCTGCACACCCTACAGGGCTCTGCACATGCTCGGGGCCCAGAAGGCAAGCCCACGGACTCTCAGAATGGCTGTGGCCAAGGTCACATGTGGATGGTGCCGACTAACAGGTGCCTCGCAGGTGCCCAGGGCTGCCAGCGGCCCTTTCCCTGTCCCAGGACAAAAGCACCCACCATGGCTGAGCCTCTTTCCCTCGTCCCGGAGGCAGCCGCCCAGCCCGGGCTCCCGGCCGCGGCAGGGGCCGCCGCCTCCGACGCTCTCCGCAACGCCCTCGGTCCCTCGGGGCTCCTGCCTCGATCTCCTGCTTCGTGTTCCCATTCTGCTTTGCTGAGAACGCCCCTGGGCCAGGCCCTCCTCTGTCCTCAAGCGCGAGTCCGGAGGCCGGATGCCCACTGGGGCGGCCGGTGGGGCTCCCAGGACCCCCACTGTGCAGCCCCCCCCCCCCCGGCACGAGAGGTCAGGTTCTCCCAGACACGGGCACACACCTGCACCAGGCCCAAGTTCCCGGGCCCCTTCGGACTCTGTGCCCGGGCGGACACCCTGCGGGGGCCGGCACTGCCGCTCCAGAGCCCAGGGCCTGCCTCCCAGGAATGGCCTTCCCCAGGAAAGAAAGTCGCAGTGTCACACAGCGGCCCCCCGGGACAGCACAAAGGCCACCGAATGTTTTAACCTGAGGCTTTAGAATCAACCCCACGGGGCGCTGCATGGGGCTGGAAGAGCCACAAAATCGAAGTGGCCAAGAGGTGGGCCGGCAGCCCTTGCCAAACCACACCCTCTTGCTTACACTCGGCTGCACATTCTACATCTTCCATAATGAGCGTGCTTTTATAACCAGGAAAAATAAGGAATACTCAAAAAAATCTGAGCAAACCACAGCTGTTGCCAGGGCTTCCCTAGATCGCCGCAGCCCCAGGCTGACAGTACCAGGGCTGGGCCAGCTTCCTGCCCCTCCCATCAGCCCCCTCAGCTGCGGGGGCAAGTCCCACTTTCAGAGCCTCAGTTTCCTCGGTTGTCACATGGGAATGACGGTGTCAGCCCGGGTTGTACAAGAGAGACTCTACCCGCACTGAGACACGGGTGTCGGGGCTGGGAGACCATTGGTCAGTGTGGTGGATGTGGGGGGGGGGGTTGCAGGAGTCCAGCGCCGCGCTGCGGGGAGGTAGGTGCGCTTCTCAGCCAGCACGGGCTGCTGTGTGCCGAGCGGCTCCACGAATGGAAAGGAGGCCCAGCCACATGAGCCCCTCTAACTGCACAGCCGGCCTCTTTCACCAGGGGATGGGGGAGCTGACCTCCCAGCGCGCTCCCTGGTCCCACCCCTGTCCCTGCCTGTAGAAGCAGGGCCATGGGTCAGTACGAGAGAACTTCTGCAAGCACCCACGCACTCAGAGGCACTCCCTCAAAGAGCCCAGAGGAGGGAGCAGGATCTGGGTCCCCTTTCTTCCGCGGGCGCCCCCGCTGCATGGCAGCCTGAGCAAGCTGCCCTGAGAATGAACCTGGCTGAGGGGACAGGCCACCATCAGCCAGGATGCTCTGTCTGCCCCTCACAGGCCACGCCCCTCACTCTATTGCCCTGGGATGCAGAAAACCCCAGGTTCTCTCTACTTCCGGCAGGAGGACGAGCCCAGCCAGCCCTCTGCAGATAAGAACCAGAGGCGGGGGTCACGGGTGCTCCAGGCGCCACCTGTCAAACCTCCGGCCTGTGGAGGAAACAGCAATGTCCGGGTTCTAGCCCAGGTCCTACCCTCAGTACCACTCCCACTGGCTGTGACCTGAACACCCTCTACCCCTGCCTGGGGCTTTCAGTGAAAATAGCTGCTTATGAACAACCTCCTCTCCCCACCCCAGCCAAAAAGCCCTGGCATCCAGGATGAGGTCTAAACAGGCAGGACGGTGCAGGCACTGGCCTTGGAATCCCGGGAGCCCACAGCACGCACATCACCCCCGGAGACACGGGGTCAAATGACTGCGCGGGGAGCCCTCCCCCTCGGCCACGCACAGACAGCTGAGGTCCCAGCACAGTGCCTGGAGCAGGACACCCTCAAAACGCCCCATGTCTCTGTCTCGAGGATCCAAGCAATCACTATGTATTTTCAATGCAAAGCAAAGAAACTCTTTAATTCTTGAATAAGTTCTAAAACCTCTATAAATGCAGCCTCCGTGACAGGAGCTCCTGGGGAGCAGCTGGTCCCACCACTCATTTGACAAAACGTGAACGCACGAACCCTAACAGGTGCCCTCTCGGCACCAGCGATCCCGCAGGTCCCATCGGCGCCGCCCTGCGGGACGGTCACACGCAGCCCTTACCCATGACCAAGGTGAATCTGGGTGGCTCTTGTCCTTCGAGGACTCCCAGCTGGAGCCACAGGTGTCCTGCTCCTCCATGGCTCCTCCCTTGGGATGCTGGCCACCTCCTCACCGCCACCAAGCAGCCCTGGGAGAAAAATGTCGCCGGCAGCTCATTTCCCGTACTCAGAAGCAGGGAGGCTGGCCGGGGACACTGAACCCCCGGCAGGTGGCTTCCCTTCACGCCCCAGGAGCCCAGCCAAGTCACAAGGCTCAGAGAGAGAGCAGAGTGTTGAATTGCAGAGCTTCTCCCACCTGGGGACTGGCTGACAACCGGAGACGCCTCTAGTCCCAAAGGCCCACAGGTGCCAGATTAAACGGACTTGGGGAGGGGGGCGGGGCCGGGGCATGACCCCTGCTGGCTGGCAGCCAGCACTTTCTTCATTCTGTCCTCACCAGCTCCCTGAGTGAGACTCAGAGATTGATTAACTTCCCCAAGGCCACAGAGCCCTAAAGGACAGAGGTGGGACTCGGTCCAGAGGGGACGTCACAGGAGAAGGTGAGGGGGGAGACCACCTCGTGCGCTGGGGCGGGACGCCCCACCACAGGCCGTGCAGGTGGTACGCCAGCATTTTGAGGGTCCTTTCTCTCTGCTCCTCTGCGTAGCCTCCACACCCCTCGGGATGTCGGGAGAGCCGGGGCCAGTGGGCCACCGTGTCACCTCCGTCGTGCTCAGCAGCCATCGTCACCACAACAGCTGTCCCTCGCACCAGGAGCTAAGCGGTTAAGCTGCACGCTGGCATATAACTTGCATGGCAACCCTATAAATAAGGTCACGGGTCAAAAATAGGAGCTTGAAGAACTGGCCCTGGGTCTTGAAGGAGGAAGTGGCACTGCAGGGCTGGGCTGACTCCAGAATCAGAGCTACCAAGCCAGGTCCGACCCTGCCAGGAGCCCAGACATGTGGTGACGGGTGGGCTCGGGGACCGGGGGGACCAGCCACACAGAGCCGGGGCAGTTTCTGGCAAGGCTGAGGGCAGAGGGCGCGCCGCAAGAGTGGGTTGCAGAGGCTTCGATCTAGTGTGACGGGGACAGAGTCGGGGACACTTTGCCATCTCACCCAGAGAGAGAAAGGGCAAAGGTGCTTTAGAATATTGGCATCTGTGCACGTTGGCGGGGAAGCCGAGGCCCGGGGAGGGAGGAACGGTCAGAGGGAGGTCAGCGGGAGGCCAGCGTGCCGCAAGTCAGGCTCTGTGACAGCTCTCGCCACTGAGCCCACCCCCGACTCCAGTCCCTGCAACCCCGGACTCTGGGGTGGCCTCCTGGAGCCTTCCAGCTCCACCCAGATCTCCAGATGCCTCCCTGCTCAGGCCTTCTCTGGTTTCATGGCAGGCGCCTCCTCCCTGCAGAGGGCGCCCCTCCCCCAGTTTCCCCCAGGGCTGCAGTGAGAGAGGAGGAAGTTGCGCTGGCAACTGCGGGGGCGGGGGGGGGGGGGGGGGGGGTGTGTACCTGCCCTCTTGTTACATGTCAGGGGTCAGAGGCTCCCCCGTGCGCTGCCTTTGGTAAGGGGCAGAGAGGGACGTGGTCCCAGCCTCTGTTCCCAGGTCACCATGCCAGGGCCCTGGCCAGACAGGTGCCCCTGCCTCCCCCACCCTGGAAAAGCAGAGTGCACCGAGGAGAGGCCAACGTGCACAGCCTCCGAGCTGGGTGCCCCACCGTACCCTGGAATAGTTCCCGCAGCCTCAACGCCCCCGATGTCCTGAGGCAGCAGGAAGAAAACAACACCACCACTTTAAAACACTTCTGCTTAGCTGGGTCACCACCACTTTTACTATTTTTAATTCATCCTGTCGACATATTTTAAGAGGCTCATGACCAACCAGTGATAAGACTGTGAGATGCCTGGCCCCGTTTGGCGTTTAGCCAGAAGCCCGATGGAGACGCTGCACGTGCCCAGGGCAGTGGGCCTGACACAGCAGCCCCGGTGTCCCTGCTGCTGTGGGAAGGTGCACTGTGTGCCGCCGCTGACCAGGAGGAGGGGGCGCAGTGCCCTGCGCCCTGGGCCCTGGAGGAGGTTCTGGGCCTGGCGGCAGCGTGTGCTGAACACACAGCGGCCAGGCCGATGCGCGTCCCGCGGCTGTGCAGGGCTGCTGAGAGCCGGCACTGCTCTGGCTGATACACCTCGCAAGGGGAGGTGGCCGATGACAGGGCTCCGAGAAGCTCTGAGTGAGTTACATGTCAGGCCCCGAGTCATGCAGATCTGGGCTCTCGGTCTGACTCTGACCTTTAGCTGTTCTGACTCAGGGCAAGTCATTTGGCCTCAAAGAGCCCTTGTTTCCTTATCTGGGAGACTCAGGGATAAAAATAGAGGCGCTCTCTCAGAGGGTGCTGTGGGGATACTTGAGGCCATGCGCCAAGAGTCCTTGACGCGAAGCCTGGCCTGTACTAGACCTTCACAAAGTGGGAGCAGCTACAAATCCTCATGATTACTGTGCAGGAGTTTTAACAGCTCCATTTCACAAAGAAACTGAGCCTCTGTTTTATTGAACTGGCATTATTGGATTGGCATTTTTATTATTTATGTATTTATTAAAAATTTTTAAAAGATTTTATTTATTTTTAGAGAGAGGCAGAGGGAGGGAGAAAGAGAGAGAGAGAGAAACATCAATGTGTGGTTCCCTCTCGCATGCCCCTCACTGAGGGCCTGGCCCGCAACCCAGGCGTGTGCCCTCACTGGGGATCGAACCAGTGACCCTTTGCGATGCAGTCTGGTGCTCTGTCCACTGAGCCACACCAGCCAGAGCTAACCGAGTGGATCTTTTAGAGCAGTTTTTGTTCCCAGAAAATTGAACTGTAAGTACAGAGGGTTCCCATACATGCCCTGTTCCCACATACAGACCGTCTTCTCCACTGTCAACAGCCCCTCCAGAGCGGCCCATTTGTTACAATAGACGGACCTGCATTGATACAACATGACCACTCAAGGCCCATAGTTCACACTCAGGTTCACTCCTGGTGTCCATTCGGTGGCTTTGACAGCTGTACACTGACATGTGTCCACCATTGGAGTATCATACAGAGAAATTGCACTGTCCTAAAAATCCTCTTTGCCCACCTTGCCATCCATCCAGCCTTCCATGCCCTTCCATGGCCTGAGCCATTTCTTTGTGGCACTGACCCGCATTCCACTGTCTGGATGGACCACAGTTTTTTCACCCATGCACCTGCCAAAGGGCATCTTGGCTGCCTCCAAGTTTTGGCAGTTGTGAATAAATCTGCCGCAAACATCTGTGTGCAGGTTCTCGTGTGGACACAGGTTTTCATCTCCTTTAGGTAATTGTCAAGGGGTGCAGTTGCTGGGTTTGGTAATAAGAGCACGTTTAGTTTTGTAAGAAACGGCCCAACTGGCTTCCAAAGCAGCTGTACCAGGTTTCACTCCGGTCAGCAGGGAGTGGAGTTCCTGCCACTCCACCTCGTCCCCGTAGGCTCGGGTGCGGTCAGCGTTTCAGATTTTGGTCGTTCTAATCACTCTTTCAGTGTTGTTTTAATTTGCATTTCCCTGATGACATGTAATGAGGAACATCTTTTCATGTGTTTATTTGCCATCAGTGTATCTTCTTTGCTGAAGTGTCTATGAAGGTCTTTGGCCCATTTTTTAAATTGGGTTGCTGGTTTTATTCCTGTTGAGCTTTTGGAGTTGTGGGCATATTTCCGGTAACTGTCCTCTATCACACACGTGGGTCGGTCACCATCCCATAGAAAGCAGACGGGACACCTCCCACACCTCCAGGAGGGGGAAACCCTCCAAGGACTGGAAAAGTGTGAAGCCCTGAGCATGCATCAGCCAGTGACAAGGACTTCCTTGAGGACAGCGTATGGCACTGAAGCAGCCCCCACCCAGAAGAATAACAGCTGCAACGTGCTGACGGGCTGGCAGGTCCTTCACCGGCTGGGCCGGGACAGCCCACAGCGGGGCAGCCCCCGGCACGTGCTGCTCTGCGGGTGCCCAGCTGCCGCGCAGATTCACTCAGTTGTTCTTTGCAGAGACTCTGCAATGTAGGTAATAAATATTTTTAATGCAGAAATGGGTCCAGAGGTTTGAAAGCCTTGCCCAAGGTCACATAGGTGGTGAGTGTCTGGGCCCGATGCACGTTTATCAGGTCCCAAAGGAAGCCACTCTCCAGCCAGCACGTGCTTCTCTGGGTGGAACTGAGAAATGGGAACGCGGCCACGCGCTGACACGCGTGGTCCGGGGCACCCTTGGGCAGGGACGGGGGCGGGGGCAGGGCTCTCATTCTAGAAGTTCTCAGAGATGAGGAGGCGCTTGCTCACTGGGAGCTCAACCAGTCCCCAGGTACAGGCTGAGGAAGGGGATGGAGACCAGCAGCCCGCGGCCTCCCCCACTAAGACGCAGCCGCAACCCCTCCCAGCGTGGAACCAAGGTGCCCTTCCCTCAGCTGCCTTCGCGCCCCTTGGCGTCAGGCGCCTGCAGCAATGCGCTGTCCACGCCCGTGGTGCTGAAGACGCGGGCCGGGCCCCAGGGCGCCTGCGCTACTGCACGCCCAGCCGGCGGTTCTCTCCGCGCTCCTGCCGCTGCCGCTGCCGGTCTGCGTGCGCAAGGATCTCCGCAACTTCGTGTGGTTCCAGCACCTCTGGGTCTATGGAGACCTGGGCTCGCACGCCTACTACTTCGTGCCCGAGCTGCGCTGAGCACTGCTTGGCCCTGTGCCAGCCCCTCCGCGCCAGCCACCTGCTGACGCCCCGCAGGACCCGCACCTGCTGTGGGCACGCCGCGGGCCGAAGCAGGAGCTGAAGGCTGTGGAAGGGGAGCCAGCGCAGCCCTTGCGCACGCGCACGCGCCGCGCGCTAGTGACCCATAATTGCTCCGGGTTTTCAGCCAGATAAGGGGGAGGAGGGATCAGACCGCCTACGTTTTCATCCCTAATACTCAGGACCACCCAGAAAATTGGGTCTCATTGCCCGGCTTCACAGCCAAGGCGAAGCAGTAGAAGTGCGGAGTTTAAAATTAACTCTGAAAGTTGATGCTCTCCCCGTTTGCAGGAGTGGCGACCAAACGTTAACTGGGTGTAAAATTACCTGGGGAACCTGTAAAAACTCAGATTTCGCAACCCACTGCAGGCTTCTGCTCTTTCATTATCAGCGAAACGAGCCATCTTTAGCCCGAGGACTAGCTGGGCTGAAACACCAGGGTGGGTGGGATTGTGCTCATATAAAAATGAGAGGCCTGCACATTCAACATTAATGACGATTTCAGAAGAAATATATATACCAACTGCAGCCTTAAAAAGTCTATGGGACAATATAAAGTTAAACCCGGTAAGAAAATATTCCATTTGCTTCAGAATTGCTAACCATGGTCCCTATAAAGAATTACTTAGAACCAGCTTAGAGGAAACCCTTCATTTTTAAAAATCTACTTCCTTTATCAGACATTTTTGCCAGTTGTCAAATTCCTAACCAAAATCTGGACCTGATAAGACGACAAAACAAAAAACAAAAAAACACCCCAACCCAGCAGCAGCAGCAGCAGCAGCGTGGGAGCTGCCCTCTTACCACCGCATCAGGTGGGCGAATCATGACTTCAGCGGCAGCAGCCTGGTCCGGATACCGCCTGCCCCCACCTTGGCCCAAGCACACGAGGGCCACAGAGCAGCGTGGGACACGCACCTGCCTCCCAGAGGCCTCCCACCAGGGCTCTGAGCAGCAGCAGAATTACCTAGTGGGACAGGCGGGGCGCTGCTGGGCCCCGGCCTAGCCTGGCCAGTGAACCTGCAACCGCCTGTTCAAAATGCCTGGGGGCCAGTTTCCACGTCTCCCTGCCTGGTGGCGCCTAGGCTGCACCTGTTTTGGAGTTAGGATGGGCGGGGGGTGGGGGGGGGAGTATCAAGGAAGCTGTGTACTAAAAGTATACCACTTGCCAAGTGCATGGGGTGTGGGCTGACCACTGCAATGCAAACTGTGGAATGTGCTACAGGCAAGATTTGATGTTTTCTGTATGGATTCTGTGTCACAGCATTACTCAATAAACAGTGCATTAAAAAATATTTACCTTGGACATACAGCCTGTGTTAACACAACAGAATAACCAAACTCAGATTAGGATTCCACATATTTTGGTTCACCTTTCTTTTTAGAGTTTTATCAGGGAGTTGATTCACTGTCTATATTAATCAGTTTTTAGCCAGTAAAACTGCTCATAGACTTTGCAAGTACAAAAGCTGTAGTTTTTCCAGAAATATTTTAAAACTCCAATTATTAACTTTAAACATATCTCACCTTTGAATTCTGTCTTGACTGGTATCAAAGTTACAATTTGGCAGTAAGGATGCTATTGTGGATAAAAACCTCTTTGGTTCGGCAACATACAGTGTTTTGTTTTTCTCTTTGTGTTGATTGGTGAACATGTATCAAGATAAAAAAAGCGTCAAGGTGTTAGGGCTGATAATGCCTTAAAAGGGTGCAGCACCCAATTCAGGTATCTGGTACTGATTTTAAAGTGCTACTACAATGTTCAGTTTTTTTACAAAAAAAGTTTGCAAAGGAAAGGCACTCGGGAAGAAAAACCCTAGACACATATTTTGAATTTTAAAAATTAAACATTTAAAAAAAACAAGGTAGATACACTTGTTTCTCATAAGTCAAAAAAATATTAAATACAAGGCTGTACTGGAAAACAGCCGTCTCTCCCGCAGATTTATATTCTCTGGTCTAGACACACCCACCACCCGCTCCCCACTCTCGCTACCCTCTGCCTAGGCCCGTGGAGCGGGGAGTGTGCGGCGGGGAGTGTGCGGCGGGGACAGCCAGGGAGCCAAAGGGCCTCGCCACCCCACCACTGCCCACTCCTCCCCGGAACAAGGGCCCAGGTCTTCAGCGTTTTCGGCCACGGTGAAGCTCAGAGCGCCCCAGAAACACTTTGCCGGGTGGCAGTTCCCTCCACTTCCAATTGTCGTCTTCTCCTTCAGCGATTCTTCCACGTTAATATGTCCCTACTTGTATGGATTTAGTCTTACTTCCTTTCCCAAACTGTCTTTTCTGTCATGCCATTCAATTTTTCAGCAGGTAGCCCTGGAAATCATTGGCTCTATGACTTCCTCTCAGAATGATGTAATTACTATCCACCAAAGAAATAGTGCATTATAAGTTTTATTTATAATGCTGGAACAGGAGTATTAATTTTTTTTAAGTTTAAATTAACTAACAAAATGGAGAGACCACCACAAAGCTGCCTATTTACAAAAGACAAATGTAACTAAAGAAGGTAAGTTTTTATTCCAAAACAGGAATAATGACACAAAGTGATGATTTATAAACATTGACCTAAATCTTTCTTAGCAGAGAAAAGACTGACATTAATTCTTTGGCAGCATCTTTAAAAATAGTTTCTTCTGGAACTGTTATCCATGGGAGTGCTTCAAAGCGTCAAAGACGGAGACGTCAACACACATTCTGAGGATTCATTTTTGAGGATTAGACTTTCCCTGCCCTTACAGGCCACTTCACAGGCAGTGCTGTGTGGGAGGGCACCTGGACCCCGAGCCCAGTGCCCAGCGGTGTGACTTCTGTCTTCCCCCTTCCCAGCCGGCACCTCGGTGAAGGGCACTCTCCGCATCTCGGCCTTCGCACCTGCCCAGCGGGACAGTGGGTCCACCGGCTGCGGCTCCGGCTGCAGGAAGAGCCCATCAGTGCATGCACGAGACCAGGCCCGCCTGGAGGCAGCCTCTGAAAGGCTGGTCTACAGAACTTTCTGGCGGGCAAGGGAGAGAGTGCGGCGCAAGGAATGCCCCTGCTGCTGTCTCTGCTCTGTCCCCCATGCCCTTCCTCCCTGGTCAGGGACAAGCAGTCATAAGAAAAGGCAAGCTATTTAAGGAACTGAAAACCAAGCTTCAATAAATTATGGTCAGAAGTCTAGTTCTTACCAAGCTGGTTATCTAGCACTGTGTTTTCAACGTTTGTTTCAAGTAAGCCATTTGGTCCTTTCCTTTGTAAGGCAAATTGTTTCTTAAGGTCAACTCTAACCTGAAACTTTTTAAAGAGTTTCTTTTCACTGCTGCACTTTCTAAGAGGTAGGGTATTTACCCTATGCTATTTTAATAGAATCGCATTTGCTCTGAAGTAAAACAATTTGTTTTACTTTAGTAAAGTTGATACCTTGGGGCCAGCTTTTTAAAAAGCAAACTTATAGGTAATTATGTAATTCTTATGCAGTGACGCACGTAGCTTTTCTCTGCAGCCTTTGTGGTTAAAACGCACTTCCGGAACATCGCTTCGTAGACGACGACAGGGGACCCTACGGAGCTCACACCACACACGTCACCCGAAGCACTGGCGCCTCTACAAAATGATCCGAGATTGAGAGCTAAGAGAAAAGTCAGGTGTGTCCATGGAAGCATATGGAAGATGTGACAGCAGGCAAAACTTTGTTCTCAGCCAAGATGGCCTCTGACCTGGCCCAGGGCAACGTCGCTGGCCCAGGACTCGGGAGGTTGGGTCTGATTTCCCGCTCGCCACCCATGGACCCTCTGTTCCTGGGCCTCGGTGCCCTGGCTTGCACAGGACAAGCTCTATGGCCCGTTTCAGTTCCAACGCCCCCTGCTTCTAACTCCTCCTTCAGCCTCGACAGCATGGGGTTCCAAAGGCTCCACTCTTCCCGGAAACCTGCTGGGGCGTCTCCATCCCTCAGATGTGTCGTCCCGTCAGAAAAAAGAGCGGCCGGTCTTCCTTGGCGTTGGCGGTCTGGAATTCGTCACGCAGCCGGAACTGCCACTGGTCTTCCAGCTCCAGGCGGACCACGGTCTGGCGGAGCGAGTTCCGGTCCTGGCAGATCACGCACAGGGTGGCACCTGCACGGGCAACGGCAAAGGAGTGTGAGCAAGTGGGTTTGTCCAGCTGAAGCCTCCCGGCTGGACTCTGCTTGGAAGGAAGGAAAAGGAAGGGAGAAGGGAGAGGAGGGGAGAAAAGAGAGAAGAAAGAAACAGACAGACGATGCTGCTGGAAAGGGAAGGACCAGATGCCCAGTGGCCTCTTCTGTCCTCTGGGACGCTTCCTCAGCTGAGCCAGCTGGCAGGGGAAACAACATGGAGGCAGGAGAAACGTTGACAAAGGGAACAGAGGACGACAACTGGACAGAGACTCAGTGAGACCACTAACCAAGCTTTCTCAGCTGCAGCTCCCGGTGTGAACCAGCCACCCAGCCACCTCAGGGCCCAGCCCCACCTTCTTCTCCCACCAAGGCCGCCGCCCAACCAGGCCGACGCAGCTCACACCTCTCCCCACCCGCCCAACCAGGTGAATTCCCCTCCTCCTGGGTGCTGGCATAATCCAGACACCATTCCTGCCCACACGTCCATTCCCTCCTTCACTCTGCTGGTCGTCGCTCTCTCTACTACCTACCGAACTCCCTACCTGTGTGTCCTACCCTCCTGTTAGAGAAAATGTCTCCCAAGGGAAGAGGCTGCAGTAGACGCCTCTTACTACTTCTCACGGCTGTAGGCCGTGTGGCGCTCAGTAAACACCTGCTAGACAAGAAGGTCAGGGGCAAGACCAACCAAGGAAACGTGCACATCAGTGAGGGACCCCAGCTGGACTGGAGATTTTTTTTTTTTTAAGACATACAGAGTGAATGTTTGTCACTCTGAACCACTTTAGCAAGAAAACAACTCCAGAAGGAGAAAGATTAGAGTAAAAGTCCAGCAGCGTGTAGCACCCCAAGACCAGGAGGAAGAACGCATCTTCCTGGAGGAAGCCGCACCTATGGGCAACTGGGCGCTGATGCTGTGCACCTGGGCTGGGAAGGCACACAGGCGATGCAACGGCTGTGTCTCATCTCCACCCACACGGGCTGCGGGGAAAGGGCCGCCCTGGAATCCCATCCCCGCCTTCCTGTCCTTCCCTGGCAGTTACGTTCCCTCTCTGAGCCTCAGTTTAGCTGCTGGCCAATGAGGACCACGACCAGAAGTCCCCCCCCCGACCCCCCCCCCGCCGCCCAGAGACACCAGGTAACAACACGCATTCGCGTTGAGGCCCAGGGATTGGAGGCCGGGAAGTCACCTTTCAGGAAATGAAACTTTTTCAGGAAGCTGGCTCCCACGAAGGAGTCGCAGAGGTAGAGCAGGAGCCCGCTGAACCTGAAGTCGGAGCAGCTGACGTTCAGGGAGTGGGGCCTGGAGCTCACGTAGCACACAGAGATCTGGAGACGGGGCCGAGAGAGGAACATCGCTCTCGAGACCGCTCGGCAGCTGTGCGCGAGGGCTCTGCCTCCGACACGCTAACCGTCTGGCCAGGCTGCAGGGCTTGGGGGGGGGCCAGGAACAGTATCTTTGTGTTACCTCCAAAATCTAGATCCTAAAAACAAATCCCAAGAGATCTATCCTGATTTATCTGTTCATTAACTCACTTGAGAATCAGAAATGCTTTGGCATGAGGACTGGGTTTGATTCCTAACTTCCTACATTGGCACAAACCACTTGAAGTCTCTCAGCCTTTATTTTATCAGCTGCGACGTGGGGTCGATACCGGAGACGAAGCCGGTTGGCGGCACTTCGAGCCCTAGAGTCTCGTGCCCTCGTCTGAGGCACTTCTCGGGTCTAGGCTCCGACAGGGCCCCTCCTGGAAGTTACCTGCGGTCCCAGGTTCAGGTAGCAGTCGACTGAGAGCACGGGGTGGCCGCGGTTCTGCAGGGAGAGCGGGAAGAAGCGGCGGCTGTGGTGCTGCAGGAACTTCTCCAGCAGCAGCTGTGCAGGGGCGGCCAGGAACGCGTGCTTGCTGTCCGGGGCGCAGATGTACTGGGCGGGCACCACGGCCGCGGGGCTGTCCGGCACCTGCGGGGGAAGGACGGCGCCAGACGCCTCAGCCCCCCGAGCCGCCCAGGCGGGGGCCCCATCTCGGGGGACTGCGTCTCGGGGTGGTGCAGTGAGCGGAGAACGCCTGCGTCGACAGTGAGGTTCTCTGTGAAGAACTGGGCTTCACCGAAGGGGGGCATGTGAAAGCTCATCAGTGTGATGGGTAAAAACTGTAGACGATCTTTCCTTGCAGCAAGTTGGCTTCCCCGAATCCTGGGATGCAAACCCCGGGGCATGGCCAGCCTCCCTGACGCCCCAGGTCCCACCCACTCCCACTGCCCTCCCTCTGCACTGACTCCCCCCCTCAAGCCCCCCGCCGGTCGAGCCCTCAGTCTCTTCCTCCACCATCGCCAACACACTTTCCCTGCCTGAGAGACCGTGGGCACGAGAGCAGAGCAAATCCTCCGCAGGACTCCCTACCGTGACTTGTCATTACTCCCAGAGAAATGTCTAGAATGTTCCCACGGCTGACAAGATCCTGCCGACTTCTCCAGCTCATCCCCGCCCCTCCCCTTGCTGGCCCTGACCGCTTCCTCTGTGCCGACCTCCTCGCTCCGACCCCTCAGCATCGCCCCGCAGGGTCTCCTCACAGAAACTGGACACAGCACGCTTCTCACCCTCTGGGCCCTGCCTTAACGTCACTTCCTCTGGGACACCCACGCAGGCTGCCCACCCCCGCTACCGGCCAGGTCAGGTGTCCTGGGACACACACGCCACCCTTGGGCTGCTTATCGCGACGGCACTGCACCCCGTATTTACTTCACCCTGGCTCCGGGCGCCCCTGAGCAAAGGGGCCGGGAGCCCAGCCAACCTTCACTGAGCGGATAAATAAAAACGTGTTCTCTCATTCAGACAAGGTGGTATAGGACGTTACTAGCGGTCCTCTCCACAGTCGGCTGTGCAATTAAATCTAAGGGAAAAATGAGATTATGCTCAAAATAGGAATAAAGATAAAATACCAGAGAGTTAAATTATACTGAGGGAACTAAAATTATTTTTAAAGTGCACCGGGTTTCTTGGTAGGAAGACTTAATACATTGCGTACCGCATAGAAAATCTCTAAGACATACGCCAGGGTCGAATGACCAAAATACAATGTAACGGCAATGCTTTATGGGTTCGTGCAATTATATAGTTTTTTGTAGATTGACCTGCACGGTTTCCACCCATGAGATCGCTTCATTTGATGTGGACAAGACACTGTGTTGACATCTAAAGTCCGTAACAGATGGCGCATGGAAAACGAGAAAACTCATGAGTGGTCCTTAATATGGTAAAGGTCTGAAATCTCCCCAAATTAAGCTGCAAATCTACCACAGCTGCAGTAAGACGACTCTGCAGTTGGGGCGGGGAGGACCCGAAAGGACTCCACGTTCTTCTGGAAGGGCAGGCCTTTCACGTGTCTTGCTAGTCGGTAGGAGTGAGGGGGACTTTCACCCCTGCTGGTCAGGGGGCATGGGCGGGAGCGGGGTGGAGGGATGGACCTGGAGTCTAAATCCGGATGGGCCCAGGTCAGGGACGGGAGGCAGCTGCCGCATAGCTGCGGAGACCGGGAAGGACAGAGGCTGGAAGGGGCAGCTGGTGTCAGAGCCGATGTCATCAAGGCAGGATTCGAGGTGGACGGAGGAAGAGCTGAGCGCGGGGCTCTGCCCCTGACGCGGGGACCTTTGGGCAGGGACGTGCCAGCTCCAGGTGCCTTCCCGCAGGATGCGGAGCTCGGAGCGTGCCGTGACGCCACACTGCAGTGCCCAGGCCCGCCTGGCCACACCGACATGGCTGGGTCCTGTCCCTCCCCACCCGGGGGCTGGCTCGTAGACGATGGCACAGCTGCCAAGCCGGCCCGCTGGTGCTGTGCAGTTCGGATGGGCCTGAACCACTGGGCAGGCGCAGCTGGTGGCCTTTGCTAACACTGCCCAGTGGGCATGCCCACCCCACAGACTTGACGGCGACCACATGGCCCCCTGCGGGGCCCCCCTCAGCCTCCACACCACGAGGGGCACCCCGGCAGCAGGGCCGGCAGGGCTCTCGGCCCACTCACCTTGGAGGTGATGTGGAAGGACCGGCGCCCACCCACAGCGATCTGCTTCTTCATCACGCTGAAGCGGTTGAACCGGCAGAGCAGCAGGCCGGCACTGTGCACCCGCAGGTTGAAGTCCACGTCGTCACACAGGAACCTGCTCAGGACCGGGGGAGGGGACGGATCGGACCGGACGCTGCTCACGCCCCGACCTGCCCCAGGCTCGGGGCCAGGGAGGCGTCCTCCTGCCCTGCAGGCCCTCGTCCAGGAGGCACAGAGGCAGAGCAGGCGGGAGAACAGTACAAGCTGTAACGCGCAGCCTGGGAAGGCAATCCTACAGCGTCCACGGCAGAAGGGCCGCCGTCTGCCGGCCACACGGGCACAGTGTGAGGACGTTACAGACACCCTCTCAGCTACTTGTTAAAGAGAAAGAGCAAACTTCCCAAGGCTAAAAAAAAAAGGCTAGCCACTTTCTACAGCTGAAGATAACAAGGCTCAACTGCAAAGCCGGGGAAGTCAAGAGCACCCAGATTCCCAGCAGGTCGGTCTGGCTCCAAAACCGACGCTCCTACGTGGGCCGTCTCGGGGGTGGGCCGCCGCCGGGCACAGGGGCACTTTGGTGAGCGTCGGCGACGGGGTTATGCTTGAGATGTGAGCACTGCTGCGGCTCAGTGCGTAGAAAGGGACGCACGGAGATGAGAGTTTCCTTCCGTGCTAATGCTCCCGGAAAGCTACATCCTCTGAGAGGAAGCCAAAAAAGCAAAACATGTAGTACAATCCAAGTTGCTAAGGTACCTTGTGAATCCATGGAGGAAGATGCATGATGTTATGCAAATCTCCCCTCCACAAAATTATACAACAAAAATACAGAGAGGAGGAGAGGAGGAGGAAGGGACGTTGGGAGGGAGTTAAAGCTGCAACCAGGGGCCTGGCCAATGCCACAGGCGGGCGTCTCCGGCTCCCGTGGCCCCGCAGGGCAGAGGAAGCCGCCCCTCCCTGGGGGCCGGGGGCCGGGGGCCGGGGGCCGTGCTGGCGGCCGCCCCAGGGCAGGAGGCTCACCGGTTCTGGTTGTACTGGACGTTCTGGGTCAAGTCCACATTCAGAATGATGAAGTCGTGCACGTGGCAGCGGGAGAAGGGCTCGCGCACCTCCCGGCTCCCGGTCTTGCTGGACCACTTCCGCATGCCGATCAGGGCGTAGTGGGTGATGTTGGGGGCCGCCTCGATGTGCTGCATGATGTACTTCAAAGAGACGTTCCTTTCCGACCAGGAGAACTCTCTGCTCGAAGGAGGGAGATTGACGTCCCTAGGCTGACGTGCAAACGAGAGCCGGGCCCTCTGGACCGGGCCAGCCAGGACACTGCCCTCCGGCCGGCCCTCGCATACCGGGCGCGGCTGGTGCCGGGAGAAGACGTCACGACCTCGGCCGAGGGCCAGGCCGAGCACCTGGCGTTTATTAGCACCTGTCCTCACAGCAGCCCCAAGACATAGGCAGCCACGCCCACCCATTTCCCTGATGAGGGAAGAGGCTACCAGTAACGTGCACCCTGGCGCTCCACACAGCCTGGATGCGAGCAGCTGTCGCCACAGCCCTCACCCTTCCGGTCGTGCGGACCTGAGGTACAGTGGTGGGAAGGAGCATGGTTTTCCACTGCGAATTCCAAGTGAGAAGGCAGGGACGGGGGCAGCCCCACAGGATGGCGTCCCAGGTCTGGTGGGACAGGGAGCGACACCAATGACCAAGGAAGGGGAGCCCAGGGCTGCAAGTCGGGGACAAGAATTGGGTCCGCAAGGGCCCAAGCAAGTTGCCCAGACTTTCTGGACCTCAGCTTCCTTTCCCTGCCGAAGGGGCTTGAGGTAAAACTCTGTAAGTCCCTTGCTTGATGTGACACCCTCGGACTCTCAGCGCTGTTTGGGAACAAAACTCGGGAAGGCAGAAGGAAAGCTCGGATCTCTTCCCATCTCGGCCCTCGGCCACGCCCCTGCCCTTGGAGAGCGACAGCGAGAAAGCAAAGCAGGTCGCTCTCCTCTATCACCTGCCGCTCCGTCACACAGAACTCACTTCTTCTAGAACAGCGACTGAAGGTGGTTGCTACGTAAGGTCCTCACTAACACCAAGGAGGTGAACTACCCTGATGATGGCTCTGAAGAAAACAAGCCAAACGTAAGCAGACATCATCAGGCAGGCCCCTACGCTGAAACACCCAGAGTGAAATCGCAAGATCACAAGGAACTGCTTCACGAGTGACGTTCAGATACAACTATACCTACGGAGCCCCTTCCACATGGTGCTGCCCGCCGCCCACCCGTGGCTCGCCGCCCACCTCCGGGCACACCACCCCGATTCGCTGGTCCTCACGACAAACCTCCGGCACAGGTATTAGTGCCGCTTTAAAACCAGAAGCCAAAAAGAGTTCAGGTCACACAGCAAGTCAAAATACAAGCAGGCACGAGGAATTAGGCTGCGGGAGGGAGGGACTGGAAGGCAACTGGAGGGGGTGCCCGGGGGTGGTGAGGGTCCCTTTTTTCACATGGGAGTTGGTGAAGTGGGTGTGTTCAGTTTGTGACAATTTTTGCATATGATTTTTTTTGGTATATATTTTATATTAAATATATATGCTATCATTTCCTATGTGCGTTACACTTCAATACAATTTTTAAAAAATTTAAAACTCCAGTCCTAACTGCTGTGGCTCAGTGGGTTGGGCGGTGTCCTGGAAACCAAAAGGTTGCCGACTGATTTTCGTCAGGACTCATGTGGGTTGCAGGTTTGACCCCTGGTCAGGCTGCGTGTCAGAGGCAACCAATCGATGTTTCTCTCTCCTCTTTCCCCCTCCCTTCCCGCTCTCTAAAATAAAGTTTTAAAACAATTTTTAAGCTCCAAGCAAAGGCTGGAACATGAGTCCGCCACATCCAGGCCTCTGTCCCCTGCATGCCATGCTTCCTAACGGGAGTGCCCTCCGTGTTCCTTGCGAGGTGGCCGAGAAATCCCCGCTGGAAAGAGCGCCTGCACCCCGTCTTACTTGTGGGCTTGGGGAGGCACCTTACCTGCTCCTCTCCCCGCCCCCATCGACGTCCACCACGTTCCACATCACGCAGGAGTCGTCAGAAATCACGATGAAGGGCCAGATGTCCTGCGGCTTGATCCCGAGCTCCTCCTGCCGGGTCCGCTCCAGCTCCAGGTTGTGGTAGGACAGCTCCTTGATCAGGAAGTGGGCAGCGCCTGCAACAGGCAAAGTCGCTGCTGACAGCTGTCCCCCTGGGCGTGACACCAGAGACCCCAGGTGGGGACAGTACATCAAGGCCCCACCCCAGGACCAGCAGGGCCCAACGGTTGGTTCTTGCTCGTATCACTTGTCCACTCGTTATTAGCTGTTGATTTGGGAGGGAAAATTCCAGGGGACAAAACACGCCTCTGGTGTGCATGTACATTTGTCTGCTTATCCTTGTTTTCCTAATGTGATTTGAGACCATGATATAAACACCAGAGTAAAAAGAATATTCACATTAAAATGCTTTAAAAGTCAAAAGGCATATAAAAATGTTTAACTCTGTCAACTCCAGAACATTCTCTCAAGTCACCGTTCTGAGAAACTTGACCAAGCAGGACACGGAAAGGTGCCTACCAACTCCGGCGCTGTTGAAGATACTGGGGAGCACCAGCATGATGTGGTTGGGCCAGTACTTTTTATAAATGGGCATCTCGTACTCCTTGACAACCAGCACGTGCAGGTGGCTGGCTCCGTCCATCGCGTGGTACAGGTTAAAGAGCCCGTGTTCATGGCGGCCAGTTGTTGGGGTAAATGTCGGACTTTTTATATATTCGTGACTCTGGAAAGTAGAGGCATAAGGAGGGAAAATGTTTCCAAAGACGGTCACATTATTCCCCTCTCTGAAATGTCTATCCCCAGACTCCTTGAACCCAGCTTAGCCTTGGCCTTTTACCGATAAAACGCAGTAAAAATGATGGTGTACCAGTTCCGAGCCTGCTGCCCTCTCCCCGAGCCCTCCCAGAAACCAGCCTGGGCAAGCCCGCTGGAGGAGACCGACCACGCAGAGCGGAGACGCTGAGAGCACCCTAACCCTAACCCCAGCCGACCTGGGAGCTAACTGCAGGCACAAGGAAGCTCAGCCTAGTCCAGGATGACCACCCAGCTGAACCGAGCCCAGTCTCCTAGCCCCTGAATCAGAAGCTAAATAAATGCTTATTTGGGAATAGTTTGTTACGCAACTCTAACTGGCTGGCAGGTTTCAATTACCCCACATTCATTACCCTTTCATATGAGCATCCAATCTTGTGTTATTTCTATAGGAAAGTAGAGGTTATTTCTGTAGGACTTAAATTCTCCAATCACCTACTCAATGTAGCCCGACTACTTATACACCCAAGATGTACATCTTTTATATAAGGAACTATGTGGCCCTGACCAGTGTGGCTCAGTTGGTTGGGTGTCATCCTGCAAAGCAAGAGAGCACCAGTTCAAATTCCCAGTCAGGACACACGCGTGGGCTGGGGGTGTGGTCCCCAGCTGCAGTGTGTAGAGGGGCAAGCCATCGATGTTTCCTTCTCACATAGGTGTTTCTCTCCTTCCCTTTCTCCTCCCCTTCCCTTCTCTCTGAAAATACAATCTTTAAAAATAAAATGTTCTAAAGAGAAGGAGGGAGGGAGGCAAAAAAGAGAGACGAGACGGTGTGCTCTTCACCCTTCCCTCAGCGCGACTTCCTCAGGCTGAGCTGGGTTCTGCTCTGCCTGGCAGCCCTAAGCCCACTCCAAGGCTGTGATGCCTCTGGCCCCACGGCCTGTTCTGGTTGAAACCGGTGGAGGAGGGAGTGTGAGTGACCGCGCGACACCCAGCCCCAGCCCGTGGGGCAGGAGACACCGCACTATAAAGGTCTCTTGGGCGCTTTACAGACGTTTTCAGGGCTTGATAACAGAGCCTGAAAGGACAGGTTCAACCCTGCGACATCTGGCCGCCTGGAGCAGCAGCACCTCCAAGGTCCGCAGCGACCAGGCCGCTTAACAGGCCACAGGTGGGCTGAGACTGGCAGGGCAGGGCCACCCAACCCCGTGTCCCCGGGAGGGGTGTCTCTGAAACAAGGTGGTCACAGAAGTGACAGATTATTAAGAACAGTCTCATAGGTGGGGAGCAGGAGGACGGGGAGGGTAGTGGGGGGAGGGGCGTGGGGGGAGGGGTTGAGCGAAAAGGAAAAAGGACTCACGGACAACCAGACAACCGTGTGCTGATTGCGGGGGGTAGGTATGAGGCAGATGAATGGTAATGGGAAGAAATACAGAAAAGAGACTGTTTAAAAACACTTTTAAAAAGAGAACAATCTCCCCAAGAGAGGAAAATTCTCCATTAGTGATCTACACTGCACTACTCAGGTGGCGTGACAGGACATCTGGGATTCGCTCCCGAATAATACAGGGGGCAGAAGGGCGGGGCAGAAGGGCGGGGCAGACGGCGCCCCAGGACCGGCCGTGAGCTAGTGACCGCCGGCGCTGGGGGCCGGGCCCGGGGGGCCACACCGCTCCACCCCGGCCCGTCGGCACGTCCCCAGCAGAGCGCGTTCCGGGGGCACGTTGCCCCGCCCTTCTCTTCCAGGCACCGTGCAACAATCCTCGGCACAGGCTGCCTGCCCGGGGTTCACGGACGAGGAAGCTGAGGCTCAGGGACACTGAGTGTGAAGTTCAAATAACACAGCTAGTAAATGCTGAGAGACCCCAAAGCCCTGTGTCCCCGGCCTCCTCCAAGTTCCGTCAGCACGTGGGTCTCTCCATCCTGCCCCACCTGCCCCGACCCTTCGGGCAACTCCAGCCTCTAGAGCTCCAGCCCAGCGGTCACTTGGAGCCACTCTGCCTTCACCCGCCGGACTCGGAGCCAGTACCTTGTCCGTGACGAGGGGCAGCCGCATGCTCTCCAGCTGGCCTCCGGGTTGGCTGAAGACGAAGTGGTGCTCCTTGGACTTGGGGATGATGAAATGGAGTTGGATTTCCTCTCCTAGCATGGAGTAAGAGAAGGCAAAGGCGTGCAGGGTGGACTCATAGAGCTGAGGTGCGAGGGGGAAAGGACAGAGCTTGTCATCAGCATCCGGCGTGACTTCCTGGAAGACCCCACGCGGGTCCTTGCCCCCTGAGCCCCGCAGCACGAGAAGCCCTCAGGACACCCAGGCCTTGCCGCTGGAGGCCACCCACGCTCGGCTGAAGCCTGACCCCGCCGCTAACCCTGAGCGCACGTCACTGGGGACACCACTTCCAGCGCCAACCACTCTGGGGTTTGACCCAGAGCGCTCCGTTGGCTAGGCTGCATTTTCAATTCTAATGAAAGTATTTTTCCATCCTAAGTAGCCACACGTGTAGCAGCGTGTTACTAAAACAAGAATTGAACACACCTGCATCCTCCTCCCTCACTTCCCCCAGCGCCCTCTGTCCCCTTTGTTATGACCAGTCCTATGAAGCAGGCACTGTGGTGAGCCCCATGGCACGGAGGCAGAGGCCCGCTTCAGAGGTCTGGGGCTCACTCCTGTCCCCAGGCCTAGCTTCCCCTCGAGTCACTTGGTCGAAGGGGCCCGCCCCCCTCAGACGGGTCCGTGCCCACTGCTCTCTGGCGCCACCTCGCGGCCGGCTCCGCCTGAGCCGCAGACACTCCTGCAGGCCGGGCTCAGGGGCCACAGCGGGGCCTCGGGCCAGGCGCCCTGGCCCTGCCGGCCACCATGCGCTGTGCACTCCCCGAGTGGCAGGCCCGGGGAGGGCGGACAGGGGACAGGACACACGCGCTCTGGGCTCCCCCTGTGGCTCCTCAGGAGCCACAGGACCCTTCGGGAGCAGAGGAGGGGAAGCTTGACTTGGACTTGGGGAGGGAGCACAGAGAGACGCAGCTGAGGAAATGTCACAAAAAGGTCCCGGGAGCCTTGGGAGACGAGGGAGGGAGCAGATAGAGCAGAGGTTCAGGTGCGTGCCCCGCAGCACTCCTGGGGGCTCCCTGCAACTCCCCTCAGCTGTGGGCCCCCAGCCTCCCCTCTCTGCCATGCTCCCTCCCTGAATTCCCTGGGGACAATTTCTGCAGTCACAGTGACGAAAACCCCTACTGCCTCATGGGGTTTTGGTGACAAATAAAACTAGGCAGGGCAGTTTCCTCATCAGTGCACCCTGAATGGATTACAGGTGTGGCGTGAACGCAGACCGGTTCAGGGGACCAGCCAGGGCCTGGGACAGCATCCAGGGCAAATGACATTTTCTACCACGTACACGGGTTGGGAAGTACTGAGGTATGAAAGTGCTTAGCAGATTGCCTGGTGCACAGCAGGTGCTCAATAAGTGCTCACTCCTCTCTTTATCTACATTGGTTCTATGCTTCAACCATACTGCTCTTGCGGGCTTCACAGGGCTCTGAAGTTTTGCTTACGCACGTCTCTCCATCCCTACGCCATGAGTCATGTGTATGGAAACAGTCGATTCACCTCTGCATGTGCATCTGGTATATTTTGGGTTGGCCAAGAAGTCCATTATGTTTTTTCCGAATGACAGCTCTAGTAGCACTTAGTTGTCTCTTAACTTCAGTCGAAACAATTTTGTTAGGTTGTATTGTGACAGCTGTCACATCAGCATGCATTGAAGAAAAACATCAAAATTGGTAAACTTTTGTGCAGCCATTTTAACATGGATGATGGGAGAAGATACGCAACACTTTTGGGATATTATGCTTTATTATTTCAAGAAAAGTAAAAGTGCAGCTGAAATGCAAAAGAAGATTTGTGCTGTGTATGGAGAAGGCACTGTGACTGACTGAATGTGTCAAAAGTGGTCTGCAAAGTTTCTTGGTACTAGGGACATTCTGGCCAAATAATTCTCTACTCTGGGGCTGCCTGATGCGGTGGAAGATGCTGAGCAGCACCCCTGGCCTCTCCCCACTAGAAGCCAATAGCGGGAGATCGCCGACATCCTCCAAATCAATACAGTTATTGGTGACAATGAAAAACGTGTCTTTTATTTTATGGAAAAAGCTAAACGGACTTTTTGGCCAGCCCACCAGGAAGCGCTCGGGGAGCGTCTGCAGCGCGCCGTCCTGGAACTGCGAGCACGTGCAGACAGTCAGATGTCTGCGGTCAGCGTCCCGTCCTGCTCAGAAACGTGTGACCCTGGAGGAACGCGGCTCTAGCGGGTCGGCAGTGATTCCACAGATGACTGAAGGGACGTGAGGATGCGAGTGGACCAGGAAGCAAGGGCTTCCAGAACTTTCCACCTCCCACTCCAGAGGGAAACCAGGGCACCAGCCACGGTGAACCCCACATGGCCCCCGGCGCCAGCGGCCTACCTGGTAGCGGGGGTGGAAGCCCATGTACTGGTGGCACTGCTCGCAGTGGTGGTAGGTGTTGTAGGCCGCGTACTTGGACAGCCGCATGCGCGCCGTCTGACGCCGCACGTACAGGTCCTCCGGCTTCCTGGGCGTCCCTCTGCCTGCAGGGAAGTCTGCGTTACAGAGCAGCAGGGGCAGAATGGCCACTCCCTCCTGTCCGCTCCCGCGGCAGCGCACTGAAGCCCTATCGCGGGGCTTGAGGGACTCAGGGGCTGCCGCTAGCCTGTCCAGGCCCTGAGGGGACCCCGCGGATCCCAAACGACAGTCTCCGTGGGATGAACTGACAGACTGTTCATGCATCATCTTACTCACGAGCCTGCGGAAGTTTCATCAATGTATATTCAGGACTCACTGCACAACAGTGGAAACAGTGCCGATGTGACCCACAAATACTTGTCATGCAGGAGAATTGTCCCCATATTTTCCAAATGACTAAACAGGATTCAGAGTTCGGCACTGAACTTTCACTAGAGACGGGCCTATGTGAAGGACCCCGCAGGGACAGCGGTCTGTCCTGAGAACACGGGGGTTAAAGTATCGGTTTGAAACGGACATTGGTGCGTATTCTCCTCGCACACCGAGTCTGCCGAATTATCAGCGCTTATAATCACAGTGGCCACTCTGTTTGCTGGGGGCGACCCTGAAACACTGCCGGGTCATAATGCTGTGACAGGCAGCGGTCCCTGGAGGAGGAGGGAGAAAACAAGAGACTGAGGGAGGAGAGGGAGATACGAGCATTTTGTTAGCACAATCCAAATTCACGGAGATGCGTATCTTTCATCCTCTATGAGCCAGGATCTTCAGAACATCCTGACCGAGACAAACAGCAAGGGTGTCCTTACTGCTGTCAGGCTCCCTGAGCAGTAAGCCTTCCTGGGTCTCGCGAAGAGCTCTCCCTTGTCCAGGGAGATGCCAACCTCAGCTCTGGGCACTGCTGATTAACTCATCTCCACTGGATCGTTACTAAGCTCATCACTAACACAGCTCGGCTTATTCCCGTAAGCGGCTGCCCCTGCGGACTCGGGAAGACATCAAAAGCCTGACCTTCGCTCTTCACGCTCTGATGGTGGGAACAGATCAGGCTGGCATCTTCGTACTTGGGGTCATGGATGACGTAGTCAAAAGGCAGCTTCGTGAAGAGCTCCAGGTCCGGCCAGGGGTCGCCAAGCTGGACATAGCGCCAATCAGACTCTTCTTGGAGGTCTGCGGCGGGGGGGGAGAAACAAGGGACCATGACAAACTAAGAGTAGGGAATGAGTTATTTCACGTGCGCACAGGGAGGATGCTTGGAGCGGAACTCCTACTGAGTCTGCGGGCTCCGGGGGGCACACCACTGTGTCTGGAAGGCACACATCCCCCATCCGCAGGACCGTTCTTCCAAAGCAAGGTGACACGTTCAGGTCGGTCTCTATCCAGAGGAACCGCCTTATGCTGTTTGCTAGGAGGTGGCTTTGTTCTCCTGACCCTCGGTCACTTCAGCTCCTCCCAGCACACCCGCCCCTCCCTGTGCCCCGTACTTCCCCCCAGCTCCGTCCCCCCAAATACCCGACACTGGCTCCCAGAGCCCACGTAACCTCACGCAGTTCCTGTTCTCATAGCTAAATGCTGCCCAGCCAGCGTGGCCCAGCTCCTATCCCTGCGCCTCTGGAAAGCCTCTTCGAAGAGCTCGGGTTCACCACTTTCTCCCTGCGAGTGCCCACACCGCTCGTGGCCCACACCGCTCGTGGCCCACGCCACTCTTTCCCATTTGCCCCGTATCACCTCACGCTGTGACTGGTGTGGCCTGTGCGCACTCACTAAGTGCTTGTTGGCCCAAAGGTTAAAAGGTCTAGTTGGTCCAACTCAAATTATGTAATGTCCTATGTACACATTATCCACATCTCTCCCCTTCCACACTGTACACATGGGCAGGGTGCATGTCCCTCCGGAGGAGGAGGAGGAGGAGAGGAGCGTCCACAGTGCATCTGTAGGAGCTTGGTGCTGCACGTGCGTAACATCGTTTACATTTGCAGCCCCCTTTGCAACCAGAATTACCCAGGTCTTACCGAAGTGAACACCCAGGTAACGAGAGCATTTAATAAAATGGGCTTTAAAGTTTAACCGACTGGGTTGGAATCCTGTCTTTCATGACTGGTATCTCCAAGAGGGGAGGATCTAGAAGCTCAACAGGCCTGCTCTCATCTGAAATACCGTGGATTTGCGCCTAAAACACAGGCCCACACTGCGGGGGACCATGGAAAACTCAGGGCTGGCGGAGCCTCTTTCCTTCAAAGGCACGGCCAGGGCCGGGCGGGCTTCCTCAGCTCTCAACGTTCCCCGAAACTGGAGCACAGCCAAGATCCTCTGAAGACGCACTCAGTACAAACGTGGCGGGACGGCCCTCTTCTTCATGGCTCAGTAGCCAGCTGCACGTACACACTGCCTTTTCCTTGTCCATTCACTTGCGGGGGGCCATTTATCCCTCCACGGACAACATGGGGCTGTCTGTGAGTCTTGACTTTCGTGAATAAGGCTGCAGTGAATGCGGCAGCTATATCAGGTGGTGATTATATTAATTAGCTTGAGTGTGATGTTGATCTCTGTACATGTGTATCAAATCAAGTTGTACACCTTACAATCCTATATACAATTTTTTAAATTTTTTTTATCCTGTCCTGAGAACATTTTGTCACTGCTATCAGAGTGAGAGGAAGGGAGAGAGAACAACGTTCACGTGAGGGAGAAGCCTTAATCGGTTGCCTCCTGTGTGCGTCCAGACCGCAGATCGCACATGCCCGGACCAGGGATTGAACTCACAACTTTTCAGTTATAGGACGATGCTCCAATCAACTGAGTCACACCAGCCAGGGATGCAATTTTTTAAAAGTGCTGTTCAGATGCCAGTGCAGCTTACTGGTTCCCTGCAAGGCTCCTTAACAAATTTTAATTCCCAAAGCGACCCCTCGTTTACCCAACCAAGTTGCTGGGCCCCAGGAAGGTCCCTGTGCGGGGGGACTGAGGCCCCATTCTGTGAGAGCTGAACAGTAAACCAGCTGGTTGAGGGGTCCGACCTCCCTCAGGGTGACTCTGCTCCGTGAATGAGGAGCAAAGCCTGCCCCCCGCACATCGCACAGTATGTCCATTTTACCCTGCAACACTGCCCTGCACGCTCAGCTGCCGAGCGGGGGCCTCCCTGACAGACGGCCCCACTGTCTAGAGGCAGCGATCAGACCCAGGCTCGTTCCAGCTCTGCCAGCTCCCGGCTGGGCTCCTGAGCACGCTACTTCCAGGACAATGGAGAAAGCCTGTAACTTACCAGCAATAACCGTGGTGTTTGGGAGAACATTAAATGTGGTCAGTGATGCAAGGTACGTAGCACAGTGCTTGGCGCATGGACCTACTCTGTTCGTAGTGGTTATTTTCCAGAAGGTAACTCCAGCCCCACAAAGGCCTCCCAGGCACTATTCTGATCTTGAGCAAAATGAACACAAGGAAAGAGCAAAGCACCCGCCAGGCCCCTCTTCGGGGATTGGGCGGGGGGGGCCTGACCGTGAGCCTGAGAATTTCATCTAGAAAGTCAAAGACATGACGTCACCTGAGAAACTGATTAAAGACGACTCCAAGCCCCAGTGCCACCACAGGGTAACTCACTGATATTGATCTCCTCCTCGTCGTAAACATCCACCTCCGTGAGCCGAACGAGCATCCTGGACAAAATGCTGAGGAACTGCAGGTAGGCACCTGTCTTCCCGATCTGTGAGCACAAGGAAATGGGCACCCGCAGTCAGTCCGCCCCGTGTCACCACCCTCTCAAAGACCTCGCCTGATTAAAGTGAGCGCCGGGTGGAGGCTGGGACACATGAAGGGAATGCGGTGCCATGAGGCGGGGCCGGCGGGCGGCTGAGCCCCTGGGAGCGCGAGGCACCCTGCTTATTAATCGCGGGCGGAGCGTCTCCCACGTTAGCTGGCCACTTTCTCAAGCTGTTAATACATTGTGTACGACACAGAAATCTCTAAGACATATGCCAGGGTCGAATGACCAAAATACAATGTAACTGCACTGCTGTATGGGTTAGTGCAATTATAGAGTTTTTTGTAGATTGACCTGCATGGTTTCCACCAATGAGATCGCTTCATTCGATGTGGACAAGACAGTGTGTTGACATCTCAAGTTCATAACAGATGGCACGCGAAACACGAGAAAACCCATGAGCAGTACGCAATATGTTAAGAAATAGGACTTTATCACAAGGTGAAGGACATTTCCTTCAGAAAAAATAAACTGCCAACATGAAACATAATTTAAGAGTCTTGCACACTGCAAATTACTATTCTTTAAGATTTTTATTTTTATAGAGGGGAGAAGGGAGGGAGAAAGAGGGAGAGAAACATCAATATGTGGTTGCCTCTCATGTGCCCCCTACTGGGGACCTGGCCTGCAACCCAAGCAAGTGCCCTGATTGGGAATTGAACCAGCATCCCTTTGGTTTCCAGGCCTACACTCAATCCAGCGTAGGCCTGCGAGCCACACCAGCCAGGGCAACAAATCGCTATCCTTGTCTTCTAATTGCAATACCTACAGTAAGAAAACAAAATCCATTGCGCAAAACAAAAAGTCAGCATCTCTTCCAAAGTCCAGAAAGAAAATAAAAAAGGTTTTTCTCCTCTTCTTTCTCTTATCGCATCATTGAGTCCCCTGCTCCCTGAGCTGGGCACCAAGTGAGTATGCGGTGAGTCTTAGATTTATTTAGGTCACAACTGGTTAAATGAGCACCTGCTGGTTACACTAGAATGCTCCCCTCCCACCTGGTTATTCCAAGACTGGCTTCCAACTTCGTACTCAGCAAGTACTCAACAAGTGCAGTACTCAACAAGTGCTGATGAATGCAAATAACTTGTAAAAAGAAAACCAGCAACCACCAGGGGCAGCTTCTGAGAAAATATCTGCAATACACGTGTTAAACAAAGGGTTAAAGTCAATAGCCTCTCAAGGGTTTCTGCAACAGAAAAGAGTCAGATAAACGGCCTCATGGAGAAAGAGAGCAGAAAAACCACTCTATAAAAAGTACCAATGACCAATAAATAAAAATACAGTCAACCTTAGTAAAACAAATTACTATTTTCTCCCTATCAAAAGTGTAAACATCTTCAAGACTGACAACATCCAGTAATGGGAAGGTAGGGAAAAGCTAGTATTCCCTTTTTTAAAGCATTTTTTCCTATTTTAAAAATAATTATAAAAAGTGATAAATGCTCATGTAAAAGTTCAAGAGAGATCGATCAATAATGAGCAGAATATTCACAAATCCCACTCCCTCCCAGGTAATGATTTCATGGCCCGTCTGCCGGGGACTGTTTCAGGCACGTTCACACACACAGACACATTGTACACGCATTGATTTTTTTTCCTAATTGATATCACACTATGCATATATTATTCCGCAATGTTTTACAAATGTAAATAGCTCAGAGAAAGCTCGGTGCTATGACGCCGAGATCCAGCTCAGGTTTTCTAGGGCTCAGTGCTGACTGCCAAATTCATTCAGCCAAGCTTGGCCAATGGAACTGTGTCCACGTGTTTAGTAACAAATGAGAATTCTTATTAGACCTCCCTCTGTGGGTCTGTGTTTCTTAGGTTCCCGAAGATGAAGACGTTCGGTCAGCAGGCAGCCCGGGTGAACTGTGACCCTGGCGGCGGTGAGGGGACCGCAGGGGACGCTGAGTGCGCGCGCTCTGCGCTCAGGCCTGTTCCGGGTGTCCTGCGGCCACCCTCTCGTTTAACGCTCTCGTCCCTGAGACAGGAGGACTGCTCCTCTCGTTCCCAGCTGAGGACAGCGAGCACGGGGGAGGCCGGAAGCCACGTGGGCGCCGGGTGACGCTGGCGTCAGCATCCGACCCCAGGCGGCCCACCCCAGGGCCCGCCTTCCACCTCCGCACTGTGCTGCACAGCCCCTGCCAAGCCCCGATCCCGTCCTACAGCCCTGCTGACAGCGCTCGACACTCATCGCATGAACGTTTTTGCCATCTGACAGGTGAAACGGTCCTCTGTGGTCAGGAAGCGCAGTGAGTTGGCGTTGAGCTGGGAGGCCGACCCCCTCCCGCCTCCCTGCTACACTGTGCCCAGAGCTCCCCGTGTCCGAGTCAGCAAGTCGCACAGATCGGCGGTAGAGGCCCAATGAAATAAGGTGGGAGACACAGCATCATGGCCTGAAGGAGCAAGAGGCACCCAGGAGACCCCCCCCCTCCGCCCACCATCACGTCAGAGGAAACAGATGAGAGGGCGGGAGTCACACAGGCCCTGCCTTCCGTCCCCCGGCCCCCAGAGTGGGGGCCGTCCCAGAAGATGCCACCGTGGGAACAGCAGCCCTAACCCCCTGGGCCCGGGCACGAGAAGCCACAGGCACCAGGCCATGGCCACACACACACCCCTACCTGAGGGGGCCCGCTGAGCAGCAGCCGGCGCGGGTGGAAGCCGTCCACGCGGCCCTCGGCGCGGTTGCCGTAGTCCATGTGGCCGGGCCGGGGCACCGTCCACTGCCGGTAGTACAGCGACTGCTCCGTGGAGGTCATGGTCTTGCTGAGCAGGGGGCGGAAGGAGCTGGCCCACATGACCGAGGGGGAGGGCAGCAGCGAGGCGGCCTTGGGCAGGCCGCTGCCGTCCGTGGCCGTGACCACGTCGTACACCAGTTTGGGCAGGAAGACGATGGGCGGCTGCCGGCAGGCCCGGGCCGCGGAGCACCCCTGCGGGACCGCTGTGGATGAGGACAGCGGGCCCGAGGGGCAGAGCTGGGACGGTGGGGCGGCCGGCGCCTGGACGCTCCTCTGGCTGCTCCTCAGGCCGGAGTCAGGCTGCGGGGCCGGCCCAGGGCTGTGCCTGCTCCCGGCCGGCGGTGGCCCCTGGCTGGCTCGGGGCCTCTGTCGGTCGCCGAGGGCCCTGCCCTCCTCGGGGGGTCCGCAGGGCTGTGGGGACCGGGCCTGCTCCCCCTGCCAGGGCCCGCCGGGCTGAGCCGAGGTCTCGCCACCGGCCGCCCCTGAGCCTGGGGAGAGAGAAACGCGTGGGTCACACCCTGGAAGGACCCATCCGGACACCTGCAGCCGCCTGTTTCTGCAGCACTAATTACCCTTACTTGACCGTGACTGGGCCTTTTTGTCAACGAAATCCCACCGCTGGTGACACATAACCTCTGTTGTCCTAGGACAAACCCAGGATCTGCTGAGGGGAGCGCGCTGGTGACACCCTCACGGTGTGACCTGGCCCCGCAGCCCCCAGTGCCCTGCACACGCTCTCAAAGGCCTCTCCTCTCTTTCTGACCCCCGGCCGCGGTCTGCAGGGGAGGGCAAGGGGGAGAGGAAACCGAAGGTGTGCCCCGGCCAAGTCCCCTGCTGTGCTCTGCACTAACAGCCCCCCAACCTGAGGCGACAACCTGACGGCTGCCAGGAACCCCCCCCCCCACCTGAGCACCCCTTAGGGCCACTCACTGCACCCGAGCACCACCCGCACCTCGATGCTTTGAGCCGCCCCACCCTGTGAGGTCTCCTCTCCCCACGACACTACCTCCTCCCCCACCTGCGATGCCTTCTCCGTCCACCTGCAATACACCTCCTCGTCCAAGGCAGAGTTAAAGGTCAGCTGCTGTCTAAAGTCTGCAGCGACCACCCCCCGCCGAGACAAAGTTATTTCATGTAATCATAACCCTCCACGTGTGCACACGTGTGCAGAAAGAGCCCAGCAGCCCCACTGCAACACAGCGCGGCCTACAAGGAACCCTGACTTCTCCGGGGGCTGGTCCACGTCTAATCCACCCTAATGTCTGCGTTCAGACATCAAGTAGGTTCTCGACAAACGCCGGTGATGCCGTGTGCGGGTCCTGGCTGCTCCCGGGGACCCAGGCGTCCCCGAGGGCAGAGGCCTTGGGCACGCTATCCACGCCCCCTCCCCCTCCGCCAAGTGCAGTCCGGGCCCTCGGTCTGTGAACCCCCAGGTACAGGCTGCTTCCTCCAGGGAAGTCTCCTGTCTGCCTCTCTGTGGCCTCGGGCTCTACAAGAACACTTCCTCTTGCTCCACTCCTCCTGAGCATCCAAACCTGGGGAGCCCCGAGGGGGTGGCCCCTGTTGCCGCCCCACACAGGCCACTGAGGATGGGGCCCAGAGTCTTCCCGCAGGACAGGAGCCGCTGAACCCTGGGGTCCTGCATGAACTGCTCATGTTCCCGGAACCCAGTCCAGAAAAACGCTTACTCTCTAGAGAGCCCACTTCTAAATTCCCTGCTCTTCCCAGTTCCAGGCAGAACTATAAGGCTCCCCCTTGATCAACCTCCCAACGTGCTCCCGCCAGGAGGCTTACCGGACGCCTTAGAGGAGAGGCAGGAGGACGCGGAGTCGTGGGAGCGCGACCGCTCCCTCTTCACCGGGCTCCTCTTCTCCGAGGTGGAGCCTGTTTTGAAACACACACGCCTGTGCGGGCGCCTGGTAGGCACCGTCCCATAGGCTCCCCCAGCACCTACACGGGACATTCCCACCCATCCCTCCATTGTCACCTGGGTGCCACATCTGCAAGCGCCCAGAAGACAGGAGGAGGAGGAGGCGAGGCAGGGCAGGCCAGCGAGGCACCCACGGCTCAGTGGGGGCCCCACCCAAGAGTCACAGCTACGGGGTGATGTGAGGAGGGCAGAGGGGACCAGGCCCCCACGCAGTACCAAGAGGCGGAAGCAGGGAAGGCAAGGGAGGGAGAGGGGACCCCACCCGGAGTCCTGAAGGGCCAGCAGGGGGGTCTAGCTCAAGAGCAGAGGAGAGGCGCACTCAGGGCAGCAGGAGGCGCAGCGCGCCCGTGCGGCCCCGAGGAGACGGGAGCAGAGCCCAGCCAGGAGCCCCGTAAGCTGGCCGTGGCCAGGGGCACAGGCTGTGGCGTTCTGGGGCTGCAGAGTCGCCAGGAGGGAATAGTGACGCGAGAGGGGTACGTCGAGGAAGGCCGGGGGTGCGAATTCACCCCGCGGCAGTGGGGCGGCAGAGGCACATGCACGTTTGTGAGCGACTGCCACACAACGCCCGGATGCCCGCCGGGCGGGGCCTTCAGTCCCTATTTTACAGAGGAGCTCACGGGGGCTAGGACAGGTGACAGGGCACACAGGTGGCAGGTGGAGGAGGACGGAGGGTGGTGTCCTGACCTACGCCCGCCCCTCCGCGCCGCCACGCCCGAGGGCTGCGCGTCCTTGTGTTCAGAGCTTTTCATTTCTTTCTCGCTACACCGTTGACCGTAGCCCCATGGCCTGCACTGCTCTGACCGCTGTGTCCTCTGAAAAGCACGGCGTCGGGTCGCCAAGCGAACCGGCCTGTTTCCCTAGGTCTCAGTAACGGTCACACACTGTCGGGTTGGTTCACACGGAAGAAATTAGCGTGTGAATCTCATGCCGGGCAGTAATTGCACTGACAACTCAGTATGACCTGGAACCCTATGAAATCTCCATTCTTTCTCGTCATGAAGGACTCCAGAGCCAGGAAGAACCTGCCAGGATTTCCATTTTCTTACACCACCAAAAAAGGGAAAACAGCAAGCTCTGAACTCAATGAGAGATTTGCCATTTCCTCCACAGACGTGTCTCTACAGAGCCCTCCCTCTGAGCTGCTGGCCAGCAGGCCGGCCCCAGGGCCATGCTACGGGGCACAGCCGTCTAGGCGGGCGCAGGCGGCCGACCTTCCGTCACCAGCTCCTCGTCCTCATTGTCTGTGCTGCTCAGCTTCTCTGCGTCGCTCTCCGGGCCCTCGCTCCGGGGCTCCTTCTCCGGCGGAGCCTCACTGCTCACAAAGTAGGCAGCCAGGCCCAGCTCCTGCTCCAGCGCGGTTCTCACCAAGCAAGATGAGTTGATCAGACGCAGGTCGCAGTACCTCAGAGACCTGGCAGAGGACAGAAGAGGTGTCTACGCAGAGCCTTCTGCAAGGAAGCACCGCACTCACGCAGAGGGACAGGGCGAGCAGCCCCGGTTCCTGCCCCTCCCGCGGGGGCCCGGGGCTGCGCCCACGAAACAGCCAGCGGCACGATTCGGAGCCTTCGCCGGCCTCGGATGAGCTGTCAGTCTCTAGGGGCACCCACTGTGTCTTAGCCTGTGCTGTGTGAAGTCGACAGGGCACTGAGTGAGGAGGAAAACGAGGCTCAAAGTTCGGCTACGCCACTTCCCAGGGACAGACCCTCCCACAGCGCGCAACTTCTCGGAGGTTCGGAATGTTCTCTTAAACGTGGGAATGAACGTTAATAACCATCTAAGTGCACTGCTGTGAGGAGTGTATGTAACAACTGAACATTTAGTTATTCATTCGACAACTAAAGGGTTCCAGGGGTGGCGCTAGATGTTAGGGACATAATGACAATCGAGTCACCATCGTGTTGGAAATGAGCATCCATCCGGGAGGACAGATACCAGCCAGTAAGGAGGTCCTCGAAGGAAGGGCACACAGAGGACCGGCCAGCGCAGGGCCCAGGGGTGTGGAGTGGACAGCACAGGGCTCGGAGGGAGGCTCTGCAACCTGCTGCAGGGTGACCTCAAGCAAACGGCCTTTCATTTGCTCATCCTCAAAAAAGGACAGTGACACTACTCTTGCAGAGAATCGACACACTTTAAAGTCTAGCACAGTGCCTAACACAGATCTCAGCAAACGCTTGCCCAAGTTTAAGATGGATCGAGATGTTGTCTTAGTCCTCACGGAGTTGAGGAGTGGACGCATTAACCCTTGTGAAACAGCAATAACCAAGGTCGAAGGTGTGGAGCCCCCTTTCCGGGCCAGTGCACATGCAGTGTGCACCTGCCCCTGCGTACATGGGGTGTAGCCCGGGGAGGGCTGCCAGGCTTGCAAGTCAGGCAGCCCTGGCGTCCACGGTCCACCCCAGTCACGCGGGGCTACGGAAACAATGCCGTTGCCCAGGGCTACGAGAGTCAAGTGAAATGAAGCCCAGAAAGAATTGGGTGGAGTGGCCAGCACGTAGCTCATTGACTCAGTAAACGGCAGCTCCTTCTATTTTGTTACACAAGCAAAGATGTGCACAGGCCCCGACTGGGGCCGCCTGCTCTGCTCTGCGGGTGCCAAGTCGAGTGTTTGAAAGCCAACTTGCGACCACCAGCAACTGCTGGACAGAAGGCCCAGGGACCTCTGTCCTGAGTGTCTGTCGGTCTGTGGGGAGACGCCAGGAGGCAGGGCGTGGGCTTGTGGCTGCCGTCTGCTCGGCTGTGATGGCCGGGGAACACAGCCTACGAAACGGTCAGGCCCCTGAGCCAGAAGAACAGGCTCTTCCCAAGCGGCATCAGCCACCGGCCCTTGTCCAGCAAACATCCTAAATCCGAAGGGACCAGCTCTCCCAGCCGCCCAGACCAGCGGGAAATGAAGGCCTGATGACCCGATACTTTCTTAGGTGGAATGGCCCTCCCCCTGCCCTGGGGACAAGCGGCAGGGCCTCCACCCAGAGCCTGGCAACAGCCCCCACCCCACCCCCACAAGCAGAAAACCAGGGGAAGTATCCCAGACCTCAGACACAGTACACTGGTATCAGCTAGAAAACCATCATCATCAAGAAACAAACCCACGATGACTACAAATGTGAATGCGCCCCCTAGAGTCGGGCGGTGGAAGCCCAGCCAGGCAACCACCCCAGGTGTGCGCCCAGGCTCCTCCGAGACCCCAGGGGCACAGCCGCCTCCACTCACCTTGGTAAGGATTCCCCGTGCGGGTCCATCCCACTGAAGATTAGGATGCAAGGCAGGCCCTCCAACTCCAAGTAAGTCTGAGGTCTCCACTCTGCATCCTCAATTTTCTGCCACATCTGCAGACAATCAAGAAAACCTAAGACTCCTTCCTGAGTTCCCAGCTAGCCCAGCCCCCGGGGAGTCCAGATGGCTGCCTACTGATTTAAAGCCCTTGCATGGCGTCCTTTGATAGAAAGGGACGTTCTCTGTACTGCAAGTGAGTAGGTCGCCTTCTCCTCCACTGGGTTCCCAGCACAGATCAGCTGCTTGAGACACATCTGCTCCCTGACTCTTTAGGCAACAGCATGTCCTCAGTGTATCTACTGTTTGTTCCTACATTTCTCAACCACTGAGCTGTGCCTCCCATTCACAGTTCCTACTCATTGTTTCGACATTCTGACACTGCTGCATTTTCCATCTGGATGGTTAGTGAGCAGCTGCTATAAGCCAGGTGCCGTGCTAAGTGTGGGGAACTCAGATCTTTGGGGGCGGTTCCTGCCGTCCATCTATCACCTGGGGGAGGAGCCAAAGGACAGAGAACACCGAAGGGGCCCCAGGTGTGGGGGGGGGGCGCCCACGTGTGGGGGAGGGGCAGCTTCCTGAAAGAGGCAAGGACGCTGAGTGAGTCCTGCAGGCTGCAGACACTAGCTGAGCAAAGAAGAAATGCAACCCGCAGGGAGAAAGCCCGCCGCAACTCAGGAGCCTGAAACAGCAAGAGAGTCTGGTGGCGGGGTTGGGGATGCAGCGAGGGGGTAGCAATGGTAATTCGGTAGCTCTGGAGTGAAAGATGCAGGCAGAGACCTGGCAAGAGGGGTGGCGGACGGTCGGCAGAGCACAGAGAGGCCACGAAGGGCGCAGTGGTGAGGAGCTGGTCACCGCATCCCACCACGCTCCCAGGCCTCCGTCACCTGCCTGCCCCCAACGACACTGCCCACCTTGAGCTGCTTCACAAAGTGCTTCCCGACGGTGAGGCCCGAGCTGGGGTTGCCCAGGATGATCTCAAAGTGCTGCTCCAGCGCTAACCGTGCCCGCACGTGGGCCAGGCGCTCGTAGGCCAGGGCCGCCAGCGGCGAGCAGGGCACCCGCAGCAGGACCATGAGCCCGTGGCCGCAGGGGCACTGCTTGGACGAGTTGAGGAGGTTCTGGGCAATCTCCAGCGTCTCCACCGACGTGTAGTTCTTCATCTGCGAGAGGCCGCGCACGGCCATCATGGCGGCCGCATAGTGCTGCACCAGAACGAACGTCCGGATGACCGCGCTATGCAGGTGCGGGAACCTGCAGCAAGAGGCCTGTGTGAGCCCGCCCACCGGCCCAGGACTCGGCCGTCCAGCCGGCTCCAGCAGGGGGCGGGGGAGGCCTGCACACAGCAGGCACGTTGCCCAAGGCGGTGGCAGCACCCGGGGTTACGACCGAGTCTCGCGTCCCTGTGACGCTGGCTGTGTGGAACCTGACATAGGAGCCCTCCTGTTTCAGCCTGTCCAGCGGGGAACCACAAGGGTGGGTTTGTTGTTGCTGGGGTTTCAGTAAGTATTTGTTCAACGAGTGAACAGATGAGTAAAGATAAATGCCTACTTAGTCCATCAGCCAAACTTGCAGTTTCCCGAGTTAGGCCATTTACCCCGGTTCCCACCAGAAACTGGAGAGCCGCCGGCCGTCGGTGTGCAGGGGCGGGGAGCACAGGCCCCAGGTTGCCGGGGGGCTGGGGCGGTGGGGGGGATGTCCTAAGGGCCCATCAGTGCATTCACCTCAAGCAGAGTCAGTGAGTAATTAGAAGAACTATAACTGAAGATGATTTACTCTGAATTACAAATCAGAACAGATCCAGTCAAACCAGGAGTCGCAGTGCTCTCGGGAGCCACGGTCACTATGCGTGTCTTGGCGTGAAGGTCGTGACCCCTGCTCCCGCGGCACATGCACGGCTAAAGCACCTCTGGCCCACGCGTCCCCAGACTCTGGAACACGAGGCCACCGTGTTTCTCAGCCGGAACACAGACGACGACACCCTGTGCACACAGGACGACGCTCGTCCGAGTGTATGAGCTGGAACGAGCCCCCTCGCTGAGCGCCCTCTGGAGCAAAGGTCAAGTAATTTCTCAATGTACAAAGTCAGGAGACTTCCTGAGGCCACGCCCCCCACGAGAACCCCAGGGCAGGCAGCCCGCCTTCCAACAGCATCTCAGGCCTCCTCCTGCCTTTCCCCTCTCCCCTCCATTCATTCCCCGTAGCACTTCAGCAACCTTACGGGTCCCACAGGCTGCAGTTAGCATGGCAAGCTGCCACTGCCAAGGCCACCTCAGGGAGACCAAACGGGTCCCCCGACTCTGGTGCAGAGGGCCTCACGGCCTAAGGACTGCTTTGCCCTGTCCCCGCAGTGCCCAGGAAAGAAGGCAGGCAGGGTGGAGAATACGCCATCTCCGCTGCCCTACATCACTGCCCTCGCTGTGGTGGCCTGTCACCTCAAGCAGGGTTGGGGGCGGGGTGTCGCACAGGCACAAGCACCCTCTTCTGCCCACCTCTGCCGCAGCAGGAAGCGCCTGCACTCGGCTCGGCTCGGCTCGCAGGAAAGCAGCCCCCTCAGCAGGCCACGCACACACTCACGCACACTCACTGCCAGGCCAGCTGGGCACAGGCAGGCAGGGAGCAGGGCGGGGCCAAGGCGGCTCTTGCAGCCCCAGGAACCACCCAGCACAGCGGCTCCCTTGGCCAACGCGCAAGCGCTCAATGGCCCGCGGGAGCTGGAGAGGTGGCCTAACTAAACCCACCGCTGTGAGAACGCTCCACGGGGGCATGGGGGGTGGGTTCTCTAACGGCATTGCGGGGGGCACCTGTCCCGGGAGACGCTGGGGGCACCACACACACTGGCCGTCTCCTCAAGACGTACAGCCGCCCCGGCCGTGGGCAGCCCTGAGAACGCTCATGAAAAAGGAACCCTTGGGTTAAATGGAAGGTTTTCCAAACACACCTGACAGCGGAACTCCCTTTGGCCAAGGGCTATTAGTATCCAGCCAAAGCAACATACCATGGAACCAAGTTTGAGAAGCACGTGCCTCATTTAATGTCTCTGTGGGCGAGTAAAACAAGGTGCTGTGAGGGCCGGCGGCAGAGCCCACCTCAACCCCTGCCCTCAGCGGCGCGCCCACCCCTCGGAAGGGGTGTTAGACAGCCTGTAAAACCCAGCTGGGTTTTGCAACGTGTGACCTGCACGATACTGGCAACCACACAACCTCCCCAGGCCTCAGTTGGCTCTTCTGCAAAACGGCGGCATGAACGCCTGCCTCACGGGTCTGCTGTGACGGGGTTAAAGGGCAAGCTGCCTGCACGCCCAGCCCTGTCCCCCGTGAGACACGTGTTCTGAGAAAGTCACGGCGTGGCGCTGAGCCTCCCTGTATTTGCAGAGGGGGGACGAGAACTTCACTGGGCGCAGAGAGGCGGTGAGGACTGAGTAAGGTCACGGAAGTAAGGCTCTTGGGACACTGAACAGCGCGAAGCCAGCCCTGACAGGTGATGCGCACAGGAAAACACAAACTGGCCGGGATGGTCGCTGGCACCGCCTCTACGCCTTTTGGCATCTTTGCACCCACTTTTTTGCCCTCCCGCCCATCTCCAACAAACAATCCCACATTCCCGCATGTTCCCGCCCATCCTCATCTCTAAGTTTTCCAGAGCAACAGCCTGACAGATGTCACTGGCCCCAAATGCAGAACAAGTACTAAACCAGGTCCCTTTGCTGGAGGGACTGAGTCACCCGGGCGGTGGGAGGTGGCTCCGCCCCGGAATTGCCTGGCCGCACCCACCTCGACGTGCACTTGGCCGCTGGGCCGCATCAGGAACGCCCGAGAGGGGTGCGCACCTTTTTCCCAGCGCGGTGACCATGGCCTCGAAGGCGCTGTCGTATCTGAGCAGAGGGAGGCTGTGTCCCGAAAGGGTGGACTCGATGAACTCCGACAGCCCGAAGTACTTCTTGTTCTCGGCGTACAAGTCCGCGCCCTGGAACAGAGGAGCGCGCCGGTCACCCAGCGTCCCGTTTGCGGGGGCTGAGGGGTCATGTGCTGGGAGCACAGCGGCCCTGGCCGGGCGTCCTGACTGACTCGGGCTGACCGCGCAGTCCCTGGGAGGTGCTTCTGTGACTCCCTTCCTCCGCAGGCCCGGAGCACAGAGCGCGCCCAACACGCGTGAAGGACAGCGTGTCCCCATCGGTCAGGACAGTTCCTTTCATTTGACCCCAGACACGTTTGCCAAGGAGAAAACCAGCTTTATCTTTTCTAACATGCAACTTTTGCTGTTAAAACTGCCCAATGATCTAGGCTGGTTTTATGACCAGTCAGATCAATGATCTTGCATCCTGCTGTTACTAAAGTCAACAGAAAAAACATTTATCTAACGAATTCTACTCACACTAACATAAAATGCCTCCTAAACTAACATCTCAAATGTCAGTGTGTATAGCAAAGTGGGGGAGGGTGCCAGAATTACAAAGACGTGAACTTTACCCTCAAACAGCACGTGGTTAAGTGCGGGAGCCATAGAGCCAGCCACACCCTGCTGCCCCTCTCCAGCTGTGGGGCTTTATTCAAGTGTCTCAACCCCTCCCCCACCCCCGCCTCATCGCCCCCACCTGTGAATCAAGTCATGCTGGCACCTGTGTCTCAAATCAGTTCATGAGATGGAGCCCTTAGAGGACGGTGCCCAACCCGGCTCATGGCGAGTGCCACAGAAACCAGTGTCACCGCCGCCACCGAGGGCGAATCTGCTGCACAGCAGCCAAGCTCCTCAGGGGTCCGTGGGACACTCTGAACAAGCCCAGAAACTGCCCTTTGCTTACCGCTTGGGCCATTAACTAGACCCCCGCCACCCAGAACCCTCAAGTCACCAGAGCGGCTGTGACCTGTGCTGACGAGAGATGGGCAGTGAGAAGCCACAAGCTCGCCACAGGTTCCGTGGGTGCGCGGCCAGTGAGGAGGTTGAGCCTCACGGCTTACGGACGTGGGGACAGTTCTAAGGCTTCTAGACAAAACCTCCTCGGTTCTAAGATGAGGAAGCCAACGGATGTCTTTTGGGAATGTTCCTAAAGACCAAGAAAGGTTAAAATTGAGCCCTGGGTCAAATTAAAGATCCAAGGAGCTGGGATCCACTGCACCTCCGAGCATTTTGGTCAATCAAGACCTTTGCGAGAGAGGATTCTCCCGACAGCGGGGGGCGGTGGGAGGTGGGGGCGCGGCGGCAGCTGGGGCACTCACGTCACTGTGGGGGGCCGGCCAGTGGATCTCGTTGTAGGGGCTGATGAGGGTGCGCTGTGTCTGCAGCGCGTATGGGAAGGACGTCACGTGCAGGGTCACGATGTTGGGGGCCTCCTTCACCTCCCTGCAGTTGAGCAGTCTGTCCACCCATCCCACAGACGGGTCGCTCTGGGAGTAGAGGTTAGGAACGGCGCTACTGAGGGAGGAAAAGGGGAGACAGGGCCGTAAGCAGAATGACCAATCCCGACCTAGACACGTACAAGGATCAAGCAATTAACAAGTTTATAACTGGGCCCCCCCACCCAACGCTGCCAACCACTGAGGAGCACCGTTCCGCCCACGACAAGGAAAACAAACATTTCTTAAATGACTGTGCTGCAGGAGCCTGTCAGGGACGCCCCTGCTGCCAGTTACTTATCGACACCTTGGCCGGGACAGTGTTTACTGAGTATCACCTGCTGGGGACACAACCCAGCCCCTCCCCGGGACGGGGATTCCCACCCAGGGGTGTTCGCTCAGTTGCCCTCTCCCCCTCGGCCCAATCTGACTGTTACCAGTCTCCTCAAATTCTTTTCCCTAAAGGCCTATTGATGCTGATACGATCCCAAGGAGATATAAAATGGTAGGTTTTACACTCAGTTTCAAAGTATACAAGCGGAGCCCTGGCCAGGGTGGTTCCACTGGTTGGACCGTCGTCCCGTAGCCGCAAAGTCGTGGGTCTGATCCCTGCTTGGGGACTGTACGAGAAGCAGGCGATTGACATCTCTGTTGCCCATGCCCCTTCCCCTCTATCGTGAATAAGCAGGCCCTTGGGTGAGGACTAAAGAACTAGCACAGGACCGGAAGCACGTTGGACCGGGGCCTGGGAGACACGTGCTGCTGGGCCTGTGTCAATGGGACAAGGGCCTCAGCATCCTCACCTGTAAATCTAGTGGAACAACACAAACCAGCAATTCACCTTTTGGGTGGCAAGTAGATGGCCACTCGGAGAAACGCACCCTCAGAATAAGTATTCAAAATACGCCTCTGTACACAGCTCAGGACGTCCCCATTCCCCAGGCCCGTACGCTGGCCCCGGGCTGGAAGCACCTCACCTGAGTGATCGTTCAAGCTCCGGCCAGCCCTCAGCTTCTGACTCTGCGCTAAATCAAAGCCTTCCGCCACCACCTGACCCAAGACCTTCCTGCCCACTCGGCCACTTCTGTGACAGGGTCTAAATGCACGACACCGCCGGGCTAGTCTCGCGGAGGTGACTGATCCTGACGAACACCCAGAACCCTGCTAGACCCCAAGCTTGACACTGAAACTCATCCAGATGTACGTTCATCTGAACTGAGTCACATCCCTCTTGAAGGAGGATGGCGCCCTCTAGGACCCATGGTCCCGCAGCCAATAGGGCCTCCATCAGGAAGGGGCTGGGCAGGGCTCCCCCATCAGGATCCCGCCCGCACTAGTCTGAGGCTTTGCTGCTGGACAGGGTACAGAAAACATGCCCCCGCGTGCAATTCAGGGCCTCTGTCCCAGATGGGCTCTGCCGCTAGCACCCTCCCACCACACCCAGCCCTGCGATGACACTGAGCAAGATGCCTCCCATCTGTAGCCTCCGTTTCCACAGTGCAGAGGCTGTGCTGGATCCCCGAGAAGATGCCAGCTCAAAGGGTCCAAACTGCAGCCACAGCGTCTGCTCACTGACACCAAAACCCACAGCCCTCATATCCTTCGAGGGCTGTGTCACAGTCCCCAGTGTTAGCCACAAATCTCTCAAAGGAGGAGTGTGTCTACCCTGCCACGTGCCCAAGTCACGCTAACCTCACGAGATCCCAGTGGGCGTGGTCGTGGATCAGGACGAAGAGCGTATGCGGATTCTGGAAGGAGTTCTGCAGGAAGGACTTGAATTTCGTCTGTGCCTCGGCGTCCAGCTTCAGGACGTACTGCTCCACCCTCTGCTTGGTCATGCGCTCCTTTTCCAAGCCAAGCTCCAGCAAAACCCCTGCAACAAAGGGACACATGTCAGGGAGCCTGTCACACGCCACCGCAGTTTCCCTCTGCGCGCAGACACCTGGCGAGCGTGGCTGGCCCGAGCTCGGCCCGGGCTGCAGGGCTGCGTGTGCCACGGCGAGTCAGGGGGCAGGCCCTACACAAGTGACTGCGGTGAAGCCGGCTGTGCAGGGACCAGGCCCAGAGACAGCCAGCTGACAGCTGGCCTGGGCACAGCGGCCTGCCCAGGGGACACCGCAGAGCTGGCTCCATGGAGCCGCTGGTCCCAGCCGCGGAAGGGGGAGGAAAGAGGGGGAAGGGGAAGGGATGGGAAGGGGAAGGAAGGGGACGGGAAGGGGACGGGAAGGGGACGGGAAGGGGACGGGAAGGGGACGGGAAGGTCAGGTCACCCTCCCCCGCCCCCCGGCAAGATCATCTCCCAGCCTGGGTGCCACTGGCCAGTCCACAGGGAGACCAGAGTAACCCCTTTGGGACACGAGCTCTCCGCGCAATTCACATTCAGCCCCCTTGAAAGAACAGGGAAAACGTGTTCCCACCGGAGACACACACGGGTCATCGACCTGCACGGGCCCGGGGAGAACTCAAGCTGGTTCTCCCCTCAACAGAGGACAAAGTCTTGGGTGAGTTGGCGTCGCTCACCGTCAGTTTCATGATCTACAAACTGGGGGCAACAGATCTTGCCCCGCCTATGCCGGCAGCAAAGACTGCCATTCAAAACCCAGTGCGAACTGCCCCGACAGACGCGCCCCCCGTACGGCTCCCTACCCGAGTGCCAGACGTGGAACAGCGTCTGCTGGTAGGTCACTTCGGAGGGGGGAATGCAAATCAGGAAGTCCACCTTCTCGAAGGATCCTAAGTCCAGGTTCTGGGTGCTGGAGTCCGCGATCGAACACACGTGGGAGAGGAGCTTCTGGGCCACCGCCAGCTGGAAGGGCCGGATGTGGTGCGGCCCCAGGCTGTGACCTGCAGCCAGAGCCCCGGAGGTGAGGCGCCCAGGGGGAGCGGGCCCAGCCCTGGGCCTCTGCCGGGGAAGGAACCAGTGTGCCCCTGTCTCGTGCCCGATGTGGCAGGGAAAGGGAAGACCCATCAACATTTCTCGGGGGCCTGCTCCGGGCTGTTCCCGGCTGTTCCCATGAGTCATCTCACACCTGCCCCCCCCCTTAATCATCAGAGGAGGAACAGCCCCGAGGCTGTGACCAGTTCCACCTGGAGGGATCAAGGACGGGGTCGGGGGAGGCTGGCTGAGTCTGGACTTTGGCAAAGGTCGCAAGTTGTCAAGACAACAACTTCAGGGATTTAGCATGAACAAACATTTCAACAGCCTGTTGATGAGATAGCATCAATACAGACAAATGCGTGCCATCGCAAGAAAACCATCCAGGTGTGTTAACTGCTGGGTAGACACCCTCTGTTGTAATGAACCGGAATGAAGGCAGAGGTAGAGTCCAGTCTGGTGTTGGGAGCCCTGCCTCTGGGAGCGCCGCTCGCACACCTGTGTAGCCCTGGGTCCTTGGACACTGCCTCACCGACCCAGTCCCTGGCCACCAGCTCCCCACCACTCACTCGTGCAAGCCGGCGCCCCGCTGACATCCAGGGACGCTGATTTGGCAGCAGAGGCAGCAGTGAGTGAAGAAGAAATGTGGCCTTGATTTTCCTGATGAAATCTGTCCAGCAAAATGTCGATGTCGCCCTCTGCCCAAAACAGTAACAGAAAGGGGTTTTCCACCTCGTGAAACTGAGCAAACGTCAGGGAACACCGACAATGGATCGGGCATCAAGCTGGGCCTTGGGTAACAGAGGTAAAGACGCCCTGACCCATCCTATCCGAACCTGGTCAGGAAATTACACTGTGACACGTAGGTGCTGGCACAGACGCGACAAGGACGGAAGGACAGAGGAAAGGGTCTAAGCCCATCCAGGAGGAGGTTTCTGGGACTATGCCTGGGTCCAGGGGCTGCGTCCCCAGGCAAAGAACAGAGAAGGGCACGCGCGGCACAGCACCCATGGCACGAGGCCCAGAGAACACACAGCTCCCGTGAGAAGCCTCAAGCAACTCAGAGGGGGAGGCGGGGTGGCGTGGAGAGGGGCAGAAAGGAGCAGGCTCGAGGCCCTCACATGACCCCAAAAGACGGAAACCACAAAGCCCTGGAGAGGCCACAGCCAGTGCAGGAAGGTGGAGGCCAGAGGCCCCACCAGCCAGGGCCACCAGCGCTGCCCACAGACCAGCGGGGCCGCCCTGCACGTGTAAACAAGGGCGGGCTCTGCAGGTCAGGAGGGATGGGCTGCACCGGGACCTCCCTTTCTTTATTCACTTGTCTGACCCACATACGAATTTGGGCCTGTCTCACTACGAGCCTACCTGGACAGAGGCTGCTAAAGAAGGCCCCCAAGGAGTCCACTTTGCCTGTAACCAGCTCGTAATTGACCTCCTTCTGGTACTCCGCGGGGCTGAGCAGGCTCTCGGAGAGAATCCGGGCCTGGTATTTCCCTGGAAAACAAACAACAAACCCTTGCTAGGCCCCCCCCCCCCTCAATTAGCACCGGAGCTCCTTGACGGCGCCTGTACCTCTCCCCGCTTCCTGGCACCTGCCTGGCTGAGGGCAGGTGTCTGTGTTGGCTGAAGGAACACACAGCATAGCCCATCCTGGCCCCGCGTCCCAGGTAGGGTCAGGAGAGGGAAAACCCAGAGCGTTGGCCTTGGAGCCCGACTCATGAGCTGTGTAACCTGGGGTGAGCTACTGAGCCCCCCACACCCGGCCTCCCATCGGGACACGAGGCTGACAGTAGCGTCCACTTCGTGGGACTGTGGGGAGGACAGGAAAAGACCCTGTTTACAAGACGCTCAGCCCAACGCCTGACGCACAGCAAAGATCAGTGTAATTACTTAGAAGTACAGAATGAGGTTAACATCGAAGAATGGTAAAAGACAACGGGGACGCCGCACAGTAACAATGCGAGCTCTTTAAAATAAGTTTTAAAAGATACAAAAATCTCAGGTTGACGTTTATCACACTTCTTCTCAACAGACGGTCCCTGCATGGTGCCAGCCACCCAGGCTCAACGCCTCAGGGCGGTCCCCGAGTCCTCGCTTCCTCCCACGCGCAAACCCTGAAGGCGCCCACTTCGAAATGCACCTGGATTCCGGCCACTTCTCTGCACTCCTAGCCGCCCAGTCCCGGCCATGGCCACGCGGGCCCAGCTCCAGCTGCCCCTCCCCGGTCACGCCCCACCCCTCGGATCTACTCCGCACGCACACCGGCAAGTACTGAAACAAGAGCTAGTACATCTCGTCTCTCTGGTCCAGGCCTTCCCGCAGTTTCCCAGCACCCCAGGGAAACATCCAGATCTGGCAAGGCCTTTAGGGCCCCCCACCGTCCCTTCAACACGCCAAGCTCAGCACACTGCCCCGTGGCCTTGGGGAGCTCTCCTAACGGCCCCTTAGAGGCCAGGACCCTACCGGCAGCTCTCCACCTCTTTGCCTCCCAGCCTGCAAGGCTCTGTGCTGGACGTGGGGTCTGACTCCCCCACCTGGACGCATGCTCCAGGGAAGCAGCCCCCAGCAGCAGCTGCACCAAGGACAGCTTCAGTAAGTTTTTTATAATTAATTGATGGACTTCTTACACTACACAAAACAGTACGGCCATTTTTTAAATCCCTATTAGGTAGCTGAAGAAACTGTCTCTAAGAGGCCAACCACAACGACAGGTGGTTGCCAGGGGAAGCCAGGTTTCACACAGGGTCTGTCCAGACCCCCAAGGCAGCCCAGTGGGAGTTGGCGTTAGAATTTTGACTAAGCTCACGACCCAGGGCACCAGCGCTGGCACCAGGAGGAGGATTACGCAGCCCTTGGTACCCAGCTCCTACCCACTACCACGGCCAATTCCAGCCCATGAGAGGCAGGAAGGCCGCAAATACCGAGGAGGGCGACGGGGAGACCCCCACAGCTGCTTCTCCACTGCCGGGGGGCGGGGTTGGCGCGCAGAGCCTCACCGGTGACAGCGATGCAGGAGTCGATGGCCGCGTTCCGGCAGGCACAGATGATCACCACGTAGTTGGTCTTGGCCAGCTTGCCCTCGATAAGCAGCCGGAACATCTCAGAGAGGCCCTCGGCCAGGGAGTAAGTGCACTCGATGATGTGCACGCTGTCGTTGCAGGAGCTGGCGGCCAGGCCGGCCAGCCAGGGCAGCTGCGCCGAGGTGACGGGCGCCGCGGCGCTGGGTGCGGGCGGGAAGGGCTGCGGCGGCGCCTGCTGGTACTGCCGGATCTCCGTCAGGTGCGACTCGCGCCACGAGCGCAGGAAGATCTGCTCCAGGTCCTCCATCAGGGGCACCTGGTCTGCCGCTGGCAACGCAGAGCAGGCGGAAGACGCTTCAGCGCCCGCCCCACCCCACGTGCCCCTCGCGCCTTAAGCGCTCCACGCCTGCGCGCACTCCTCCCACACCTGGTGCCCCTCGCGCCTTACGTGCTCCACGCCTGCGCACGCCTGCGCACACCCCGCCCACCCCACGTGCCCCTCGCCCCCACGTGCCCCTCGCCCCCACGGGCCCCTTTCCTCTTAAGCGCCCCGTGCCTGCCTGCGCCCTCCCACTCCACGTGCGCCTCGCGCCACACGTGCCCGCGCACCCCGGCACGTGCTCCACGAGCCGCACGCGGAGACATCTTACAAATGCAATGAGCAATTCTGGGCTAATTTAAAAGCAACATAATCTAAACAACTTATGTTACATCCTATTACAGACCGCGGGGAAATACAGGGAGGACAGAAAAGCAGCCCTAACCTCGCCATCCTAATGGAAAGGCAACTGTTTCTGTATATTTTTACGCACCCCTGCCTGGCCTCGGGTAGGTTTTAAATTGCTGTAAGGACTGTGGGCATAGAATTTAAGGACTAGTCTACCTTCTTTCCCCTCACACCTGAGTCACATTTCCACGCTGTTTCAGGTCTTCCTAAACAGTGCTAACAATGGCCTCCTGATGTTCCAGGCACCTTCAATTTATTTAGCAATGTTCCCATTGCTAGTCCTTTCATTGCTTCCAGAGAATCACCTGTATAAATAATTCTGCAGCACACAGCTGTTTCCATAAAACATAACGCCCTCAGCCTAAGTTCTCCAAAGTGAGCTTACCGAGCCCATTAATGCACACCACCAGACTTTTTCCAGAAGGTCTAAATGTGTCAACTTCCAGACGGTAGTGGCACAGGACACACTCGTGTCACTGTGCCCTTCGCTCCCCTGGATACCATCACTCAGGATATTGTTGATAATGAGAAGAATTTTACTTGTTTGATTTGTTAGCTGGCATCTCTTTGATCACTACTGAGATTGAATCCTTCAACCTTTTCTCCTATAGGTATTTTCCGGCTTATCTGCCCAAATTGTATCAGTGGGAGGCCGGAGGACAGAGCTTCTGTTTAGAAGGTGTGTCCCATCCAGCCCCCACCCAGCACCAGCTGCCCCGCCCTGAGCTCCCCTGCGATCAAGTTTCCTGATCTGAAAAAACGGGGGTCACGCCACCCACTCATTGGGCTGTGTCAAAATTGAATTAAATTGGCTGTTACTTTTCCCATGTTTAAAACCTTTCCCCTGCGCCACATCTCCTCCCAGAACCGCGCCCCGCCCTGGCAAAGCTCCCTGGGAGAGCTGTCCACAGCGGCCAGGCTTGTTTCCTCGGACCCATCCCAATGTGGCTATTGTCCGCCCCCTTCCTTGTGCAGCTCCCGTCGAGGTTGCCAATCACTTCCACAGGCCCAGGCCCAACGGTCAGTAATCAGTTCTCACTCAGCTCTCAGCAGGCCAGTCCTTTCTGAAATACCTCCTTACCTTTGGACCTACTGTAAGCCCTCCCCAGCGCCCCAGGGTGGTGACCGCTGCGGTCCTGGTAGCATCTGTCAGCCTGGGCCCTGTCTTTCATTTCCACCAGCCAGAGCCGGGCCTCGCAGTGCCGCCGGTCAGTGCGGGGACTCGGGCCCATCCCGCCTGTAGCAGTCGCTCCCCTGGAGGTCCCGGACCGCGGGACTCACCCAGCTGCACCAGGTAGTAGACGGTGAGCAGCAGCTGCGTCTCCTCCGAGATGGGCTGAATGGTGGCGGCTCCGTACTGCTCGTATGCCCGGGAGATGGACTGGGCGTTCTGGTAGCACGTGTACAGCAGCGGGCTCACCACGACGTCGTTGAGGTTCCCACACAGGTAAGGGAAGTTCCCGTGGCCTGGGGGGAGGAACAGCGCCCGCCTGTCACCGGCCTCGGGCACCCCGGCAGGCCGCAGGGGGGTGCATCCCTGAACGCCGGGGCGCTAAAGCAGCAGCAGGCGGGTGGCCTCCGAGGTAACTCAGTGCCCTTCTCGGGGGAAGTCTCGGCCTTCCAGCCGCTGCCGATCTGGGGTCCCTGCTCTCACAGCGGACGGATGGGGCAGCGGCATTTGCCTGCTCATGTAGTGCCTTGTTTTACAGTTGAGCAACTGAAGGCCCAGAGGGCAGGGCCCGAGGCTGACCGGACACCGTCCCCCGCAACGTGACTCTAGAGAACCGCGTGGCAGTGCCACCTTCTGGACCTGTGCCAGGCTCTCCGCCAGCCCAAGCCTCCCCCTTGCCGGTGTGTTGGTTTCTGCTTCAGCTCTCCCAGAACTCTGACAAGCCGAATCTGGAGAGTAAATCACTGCACAGACCGGAGGCTCTGCACACTGACAGACCTGACAGTCAGCGAATGTGACGAGATGAACCTGATGAGGACGCTCAGAGATGGAAGAGCCGGGGCCAGCTTCAAACCTGCTCTGTGTGTGATCATTAGCTACGCGACCCTAAGCAAGAAGCTAAACTTCTCTAAGCCTCAGCCTCCACAGCTGTAAGACAGGGTAAAGGTACGAAGTCCTCGTGGGGTTCCTGAGACGAGCAAACGTAGCGGATGTGCAGCAGGAGAGCCCCCCGACAGGCCGGGCCCGCTGCACAGCCTCTGATTCAGGAGTGGGGCCTGATCCTAGTTCCGGGGTGCGCTTGGCAACTCACACCTCTAATAACGTTCCGGGTGACGTCGGTTCCATTGGCCCTGGACAATTTGGGCAGCACTGCTTATGAACGTTATGGCTGATGAGAAGCAACATAAAGAGTCACTCTAAAAGGGTGTGGTATTTGTCTCAAAAGAGGCGCAGAAAAGCTGCGATGAGGCCCAGATGGAAAGGAAACAGGTGGCTTCGTGAGAAGGCACGGGGCTGGGTCTGAAATCACAGGCAAGGCTGAGCATGTGGAGTAGGGGAGGGAGCCAGGGAAGCAAGCTCGGGCAAAGAGGGGCTCAGCTGAAGCAGTGGGGCCGTGGCCGGAGGCGCAGTGAAGTCGAGGAACAGGGAGGAGGGTCTGCAGCTGGGATCGGTGGCTGTCAGACGCGGGTCTGCGGGCCCCGGCCCAACCACGCTGAGGTGCCCGGCTCAGGGCGGGCGCAGGTCCAGGGCCGTCCACACCACCACGCTAGCGCCCAGCCCTGCTCTGCTCCCCCATCGGCACACGCCTGGCACCTGCCACAGACCCCCACGGCCACGCAGAGAACACACGCACGGTGATTCGGGGCTGGCCTTCATTTTGGTTAGCCAACAGGGCCCAACGGCATGGCGGGCCCTGCCTCACGCCCTGCCCAGAACCCGGATTTGCACCCTTCCTTCTTCCGGAAGACCCTCTCCGTGTTTCGTGTTAAGGGAAAAGAATGTCCTCTCCCATTTCTTAATTAGCAGTAAGATATCTCTGCTACTTTCCTGCCACCCCCTCTCCTCTACTCCTACAAACATGATGCCAAGTACAGTATTAACACACATGTAAGAAGGACCTGAGGGTGCACGCGCCTATGTGCCTGTGTGTGTAACTAGATGCCGACACACGGTACCGGTGGGTGCCATCCAGTGAGGCCTGCCCAGTCCTCACGTGTCAAGGTCTCCCACCTCATGAGAAAACGGAATTTCTCTCATTGAGCCCAAAATGGACCTCTACGTAGCATACAGTAGCCACTGAGCCAATGCAGAGCGAATCGAGCTTTGTGTCCTGCTCCCCCACGGTGGCCATGGCTGTCTCGGCCCAACCAAAGTCGGGGTCCATCACCAAAGAGACCAGTGGCAGAGCGTGACAGCAAGGCCACCCCCGGACTGGGGCTCCCGGTCCTGCCAATCAAGGAGCCGTGGCTCCAACGCCCACCCTTGGTGCTCGGCCCCAAGCCTGGGGCTGTGGCAGGAGCTCAGTGAGGCTGAGGGAGTGAAGGAGGAAAGGACAAGGGAACAAGCAAATGGACCGCACGGAACAGAACCTTTTCACTTGGGCCTGTTGTGCTGGCGTCGGATCGGGGGCTCCCCCGTGGCGGGACGGGTCTGCGTGGGTCCTTCAGTGCCCTGGGAAGAGCTCAGGGTGAGCTCGCCCAGGGCACAGCCGTGGAGCCAGCCTGGAAGGCGCCTGCACGCTGCCCGTTTCTCACGCGGTCCCCCTGCCCCTCCCCTACCACCTCTGCCGCGCTGCGCGGCCCTACTTGCCTTTGAAGATCACTGGCTTGGCCTTGCATATTTTCAGCAAGTTGTCGGGAACTGACACTGGTTCTCCGGAGGCCACGACAGGAAAGGTGACTGAAGCTGGTCCCACCAAGCCAGCCTGGGGCATGTAGGACATGCCCGCGCTCTCTGGAAACACGCCGGGAGTGTTAGGAGGACACACAGACAAGGCGTCTGTCCAGCAGACCGGATGTCCGTCCGGCCAGCACATATGCTACAACTTGACCCTTCCCCGCCCCCACCAAGTCTTGGGATCACACATTTCTGAGGTCAAAAGCATCTTTAAGGTTACTGAGTCTAACCCGCCCCACCAAAGGACCCAGTCTCCTCTTCAATATCCCTGGCAAGTGACAGGCAAGCCCCTTTTTAAACTCCTTTCAGGTCAGGGAACTCACCACTCTGCAGGGATCCTGGGCTTTGTTAAGCAACCCTGGTACGTGTGAGAGTCAGCCTCCCTACAAATGCCCCCCGACACAGAGGCGCACATGCCCACGCGCACACCCCCCGCCCCGACCAGGAGCACGCCCGAGCCTGCATTTTTGGCAAGCTCTGGTCCCTTACCATACTTGGCTCTGTTCCCCCCACCCTGGGGGTAGCCACCGTCTGCAGCTGATGGAGATTCTGGAGACCACCCTTTGTGGCGCTTCTTGGGGGGCCCGGAGTTTGACAGGACACCTAGGCAACAGGCAGAGTGTGCATTAAGCTGTCGCTGGAGATGGGCTTCAACAAAACGTTCCCAGGACTTGGAGAACGCGTATCTATTATGTGTTTTAAAATCACAGTTCGCAATGAGTTTTAGCATCTATTGACGTATCTAGGCCTAAGGAAACATCGTGTCCTGTCTCTGCAAATGTTTCCTTCCCAAGTTGTGCAGGTGGACAAAATTCAATCCGAAACCTTAGCCCCTTCACCTTTCACATGGGGTGGGAATGCTATTCTCCAAGGTGCGCTGGTCAGGACTGAAGAGAATACATGGAATGCACGGAGCCTGGGCCCAATAAGTGGTAGCCACCAAGACCCCCTCCCATCATCATCATCATCATCATCATCCTCATCCTCATCCTCATCATCTCACAGTCCGGTATGTTAATAACACGGGTTCCTGCGGACAAGTCACCGCACATTCGATGCGCTACGGCAGCCACACCACTGGGGGGCACTACTTACCCACCTGTGCTCCTCTCCCCACCCCGGCCTTGAAAGCCAATTTCAGACTAAAAACATCCAGGGCAACAGAAGCTGGTACCCACGGCTGTTAGTGAGTCATCCTGCCTACACTAGACGACAGTGTGCTCATGACTCACACTATGTTCGTGGGTTATTCAAAACATCAAGAACTAGTTATCATATTTCTTGGACCAGTTTTTTGATGCAAAATGTCCCCTCCATTTAGGGCTACATGGTCAACCCTGACTGCACACTAAAGTCATCTGAGAAGCTTTTAGAATCCTCTGTGCCTAACGCAGCCCATCCCATGTGAACCAGGACCCCAGCATCCGAGGTGGGGGAGGGGGCAGGCAGGCTGGGAGCCCCCAGGTTCCCCATGAGCCTAACACATCACAGGCCTGAGAGCCACCCTTTGGAGCAACATTTCTCTGGGTTTGGCCTGAAAAGGCGCCGGAGAGAACCAGCAGGGGCCCGTTCAAACCCTCGCTCCCGGGACCCACCCCAGCCTGCACAGTCAGGTCTCTGGAAAGATCTCTGGAAGGTCAGAAAGCCCCTCCTTCACGAGCCCCTGCTTGTGCCCAGACTCCCTGCAGTTTGAGATGGATCACTTTCCAGTCTCAGAAAAGGGATCCGACGTTCTTCTCCCTCTCCTTCAGGCTGATAGAAAGGGAATGGAAAAAGTGAACAAGAGCGAAAAGCAGCAAGTACTTCATCTACAAAGAGCTTTCGAGCAGGAGACTCCCTCGCCCCACAAGCTCTGAAGCAGCTATGGTCCCTGCTGCTTCGTTAGACCACAGCGCCGACTCCCTGCCTCTGTCCCCCAGGGTCCGCAGCAGAATGCCCACAAAGCCTGCGAGGCCGGCACCTTGAGAAACCACATCAACTGCCCATCGGGGTCTGGGCTTCGGTGCTAAGGATGGAGGGTCCCCAGATATTGTCTCCCTTTGGGACGCTGACCCAATCGGCCGGCCTCTAAGACGACGCCAAGCCTGTGAACTCCCCCAAATGATGTCACCAGGAGCTGCCCCTGTGGGACCAAGTGGCATGTGGGTCTTCCTCATGCAGCCCACTCACTCTAGACCTTGAGCACACAGACCCCCAAGGACACCCAGCAAAGGTCCCTGCACGGCCGCCCTGCGAGGCAGCCCTTTGCCGCTGAAGCAGCTGTCAGCCCTCACCAAACACCCCGTGTCGCCAGCAGCAGTTTCTCAAAACTAATCTCAGCTCCCCTCAAAGCAGACAGGAAGGCAGGGACCCCGGACCCTCAGCGGGGCTCCTGAATGAGGCAACGCCACGCAGCCAGCGCCCACCAAGCCCCTGTGCGCCGGGCTCCAACAGCTGGTACCAGGGCTCCGAGCTGCGTGTGGCCACCGCCCTGCTCTTCACCGGCCTGGCAGCTGCCAGCGGGGAGGAGGTAAAGGCAGGTGCTCTTCCAGGGCACAGATGTGTGACCAGGGTCTAGAGGTGGGGGCGGGGGGCGGGGGGTGGCATCGAACCGTCTGGTGTGGCGGGACACATGAATCTGGAGCAGGAACAGCAGGTTGGTTGGGGCTGGACTCCAGAGGGGCTTGATGCCACACAAGGGAACCGGGCTCCCCGCTTCCCCTCCAGGGGAAGTGAGCTCGCTCACAGCAGAAGCAGGCTCCCAGAGCCCAGGCCGAGGGGAGCCCTCTTTCCTGCGTGCAGGGTGAGAGCTCTCTGAACCCAAGCACAGGGAGGGGCGGCACCAAAGCCCAGGCCTCCCCATCACCGTGCCCCCGCGGCCCCATCCTCAGCCACACGGCCGCCCTAAAATCAGCACCTACCCAAGAAGAAACGGGCGCAAGAAGGAAAGTGGGCGCCTGCCTGGGGCTCCTCCACCGGGGAAGCGCCAACGAGCCCGACCTCAGACCCAAGGGGGAAAACGCGCAGGTTAAGACTGGGGAGTCTCAGATCCGAGGGGAAAAACGCGCAGGTTAAGACTGGGGAGTCTCAGATCCGATTCAGAAGAGACGTCGTTCCTCAGCTCAGAGGGACACAGGTCTCAGGATTCCACCGGGGAGCCCGGGCCACGCGCCGCAGGAGCAGAGCGTGGCTGCCGCCCGGCTCCCTTCCCTCCTCTGCCACAAAACAGCGTGGCTCCTAAGGGCTCTCCCAGCAGGACAGCCAGCCAAGGCCCTGAGGGGCCGTCCAGCAGCGCCCATGGAGGAGGGCGGAGGAGGAGACGGGAGGAGAGCGAAGCCCAGCCTATGAAAAGGCTCCTGGCGGGCTCAGGCTGAGCCCCTGCTCCGCCCCCAACTGCTCCTCCACCAGGGCCTCTGCTCTAGCAGGGGGCCGGCGTAACCCCCTCATGCACCCCCTTCTCACCCCATCCTCGCCTCCTCACCCCTCTTCCTCACTTCCTCCCAAACCATCTTTAATGAATGCTTCCTCAACTGTCAGTTGCCAGCTCCTCCAGGAAGCCCTCCCTGAACAGACCAGCCCAATGATACTGCTGCTGTGGGCCCTTAGCGAGCTGCCAGATGTGTCCTGACTCCACACAGCACCTTGTCTAATCCTCTTCGCAGCCCTCAGAGTGGACCTCTTACCTCCAGGCGAGGGGACATTTAGCCAAAGTCTTATCCCACATCCCCCCACTAGGAAGAGACAGAGTTGGGTTTTGGACCCATGTTTATCTGATGTTGTCCGCGCGATACCACATCACCCCCTGCTTGTCCAGAACTCCACACCCTCCTGGCAGGTGGCTCACCATGGGACAGGTCCCCCGCCTCATGACAGGCTCTCACGGCTCCCTGGCCGTGACCTGTCACCCTGCACCAGGACCTGGGCACAGCCCCGCAGACTGTGGGGACACCAGCTGTCCCAGCCGAACTCTCCATCCAAGCCACAGCAATTCCGGAGGCTCCCGTGCCCACCCCACCAAAGCCTGGGCCTGGAGAGGGCAGGACCCCCAGGACAGGCAACGCTACCTAGTGCCGAGGGCCGCGCCACCGCCGACAGCTTGTTCTTCACCAGCGGCTGGTGCTTCGGGGAGCCTTTGCCGTTGAAAACAGCTGGGCCAGCGGCTGCGGTTAGTGGGGGGTGACCGGAGGCTGGTCCTGAGCGAAGAGAATGAGACAGAGGTCAGCGCCCAGCACAGCGATTCTGCCGGACTGAGCGCGCGCACGCGCACGCAGGTACGCGCGCTTCTGCAGTGCGCACTCCCGGAGAGGGGGGGGTGGCCACTGGGGCTCCGTGAATTCAGCACGGCCCTGAAACTGTTCCGGCTGCCTTCTCCCTTCTCCTTCACCCTCCAGGGTCAGGTCTGAATCAGACGTGCTCAGGACAGCGGCCGGGTTTGCCCGCACCGAGGCCCAGGCTGCTCGCGGGGGCCAGGGCTCCCTGGGTCCCTGAGGACAATTCCGGGGGCGGCTGCAGGTCCTGGGGCCTTTGGCGGCTCACCACACCAGCTGCGGGACCCCTCTTAACCCGCCCCTGCTCCACCTCCCTCACCCATAACATGGGGGTCACAGCAGCGCCGCTGTGAGGACGACAGGAGCCGACTGAAGTCAAGTCTGTGAGAACGGGCCCAGCAGGCGGTTAGCGCTCAGTCAGCACCCGCCCTTTCTGTGCCCTCACTCGGCTCTCACAGCCCCCTGCACGTGAGGCAGGAAGGGTTTTCTCCAGCTGTACTGAGGAGGAAACAGACGCCACAAACAGTTGAAGCAACTTGCCCTAAAAGGCCCAGCAAGAGGGTAGCGGTGCTGGAACCTACACCCTGGTACTCTGATGCCAGAACAGTGAACTCTCTAGTTGCCTGGTGGCAGAGGTCCCAGGCGGCCGGGCACACAGGGCGGCAGATACCACGTGGGGAGGGAGGCGTGGTATCGGGAGGAGCACCCGATTCGGAGGGATGGGGCCGGCGCGCCAGGTGGGGCGAGTGCGCTGGCCCCTCTCAGGGCCCGCCCACAGACCCTCCGGGCCAGAGGCAGGGAACCCCCAGGCCTCCAGAGTCCCGAGAAGGCTGCTCCCTGCTGTGGTCTCCCCTTTCACGTTTAAATGCTTCAACCAGCAATCCCTGCTGTCCAATCTGGACGCGGCCGCCTGTGAGATCCCAGGCCCCTGTGGGCCTTGCTCTCCTGGTCAGCACAACAGGGCCGCGAGAGCCTGCTCACAGGGGGCTTGTCAGGCTTCGACGAGGCCCGCGGGGAGCTGGGGCGCACTGAGCGCTGGGCGCAGGGCGTGTCTAGCCTCGCCTGCCCCCCGCAGGAGTCCGGTTCCCACAGTGACTCCGTGCCCCTCACGGAGCAAGCTCTGTGCTGCAAACGGGGGCGCAAGCGAGCCCACCAACAGGGGGCCATGTGAAGGGCAAAGAGGAACGCAGGACACCTTTGCAAATTAAAAACGAAGCATTCTGTGTTGAAAGCTCTTCCAAATTCACGATGACATGCAAAGGCGTTGCAGGGGGAGAGAACACACAGCACGCCCCGTCTCTCCGGAAGCATCCGTGACCGAGCAGCCGGCCGGTGGCGTGCGGGCCCTGGTGCGGCTGCTTCAGGGCTGCTCATCGCCTCACCTGTTGGCTGTGCCCCCGTGGGGACGCTGGGGTTGGTTCCAGGCGTGGGCTCGCCAGAGAAGGCGGCCAGGGGCCCAGCGCAGTCCAGCGGCGGGAAGAGGGAACTGGAGCACGGGCCGGCGGTGGCCTGGCGGCCTCTGAACTCTACGGACGAGACACGGCCGTGAAAACCAGCACACTGCTGGCCCTACCCGTTAGAGACGATCCCCGAGGCTGGGGTTTGCCCTGCAGGAGGGCTGGGCACTCAGACGCCCGCCGCAGTTGCCAGCACCTCCTTGGTCTTTGCGTCAATGCAGGCGGAGGGGTGGGGGAGAAGAGGGCGACAACCCCCGCGGCTCTAAGCCAAGGGCAGGGTCCATCTGAGGGGCCGCTGACTGTCAGGAGAGGACAATAGTGAGCATTTGGGGAAAAGAGAAAAGCAGATGATACAAATGCATCATCCAACTGCTGCCCTTCAAGTCCAAGGGAAGAGTGGAGCCTCCCTCAAAGCAAAGGTACAGCCGACAGCTTCCTCCAGCCGGTGAGTCACCTTCGGCCCCTGGACACCCCTCACCTGCCAGGTGCTTGGTCACAGCAGGAGGTCAAAACCCTCCCTGGTCCCCCAGAGGGAAGAACTGCTGCCTCCCCGGGACCCAGGAAATGACTGGCACATAGTAACGTAAGAAAAGGGGGCAGAAAGGAAGAGCAAAGGGAGAGGTGCGGGAGGCGGCGGCCCAGAGCCAGCCCCGCCTGAAGCCCCTGCTCTGCTCAGGGGAGCTGGCTGGAGAGTCCAGGGGGCCGCACGTGAGCAAGTGAGGGACCAAAGGCTGGTCCTGGCCGTCCCACAGAGAACCCTCCTAGAACACGCCCCCCCACACCAGCCCAGTGGGGGCATCTCAGGGAGCAGCCCAGTCGGGGCCTCTGAAATCTACCCCCGCCTTTCCCCTCCCCCCGAGAGCTGACCGCAGCCAAGCGCCCCTGCCCCACGCAGCGGGGACAGAGAGGGAGGAGAGGGGGCCAGTGACTTCTCCCAGGACTGGACACCGGGAAGGTGAGGGACATTACTCAAGCCAAGTTTCTCTAAATTGGGGTTTCGCCTCCTCGCACCGCGGACACGTTAGAGCGGGTAACTCTGCTGCGGGGGCCGTCCTGTGAGCTGCAGGATGTTGGGCAGCAGCTCGGGCCCCTGCTCCTCAGAGGCCAGGAGCCCCCTCCAGCCGTGACAGTCAAAAATGCCTCCACGCACCGCAAATGTTCCCTGCAGGACAAAACCACCCCACTGACCCTATACGCTGAATACCCATAATGCAAAGCGGCATTTGCTTTCCACACACTGACCTCTCAGCCGCCAATGTGCCTGCTACCGAGCTGTCTCTCTGCAAAGCCCTGCTGACGGCGCCGTGGCCCGCCTGGGGGACACCCAGTCACCCGCCCGGCCCCGCAGAGCGGAGCCGCTCACCTGAGCCTTTCCAGCAAATGAGGGGTCCTTTGGTAAGCGCCCCCTGTGCGTTGCGGACCAGGTAGTACTTCAAGTGTTTCTGCTTCTTAGGCTGAGTGGTCAGCTTAAGGTTTATGTGATTGGAGAACTCCGTGAAGTAGCAGAAGCCTTTCTTTCCGCAGCCAACGCAATTCCCGGAGAATCCTGGAGCAGGAAACAAAGCCCGACCATCCCCAACTGAGCTCCAAAGTCCTCTGCAAATGAAACGCAGTTCACCAAAACCCTGGCCATTCGCATCCTCTACCACCAACCGGAGGGTCCCGCAGGGGGCAAGGTGGCCTTCACTCAAACAGGAGAAGGACCGAGAGGGCTTGGTCGTGGGGACGGGCCCAGGCAATCTGGGCAGAGTGAGCTTGCTCGGGGGCGTATCCAAAAGCCTGTTGGAGCCGCTTCCTAGGACGAGAACAGTCTCACTGGGCTGTGGGCACTGATGAGATGCCTGCAACGGCCCGGCCTGTCCCGCTTCCTCCGCACCGGCCAGGCACAGACTCGCAGCGTCTGCTTACTGACGCTAGATACCTCCTTACTGACGCTAGGAGACCTCTTGAGAGTACAGACTCCCATCCTGGAGTCACGAAGTTTGATTCGACGAATTGCTGAAAAGAAATGAAGAACACCCTACAGAGCACGGCCAGGGCAGTGGGGAGGGGTTCTGGGGGCTCCATGGCCGGGGAAGCGGAGACGCTGTGCTCGCTGGTGGCTGTCACGGCCATGGTCGGTGCCCTGCTACCCACGGCCAGAATGGGCCTTTCTGGGAGGTGACAGAGGCTGCCATCAGCTGCGAGGCTCTGAGAAGACTGTGCACGCAGTGACAATGGCAAACCCTCCTAGGAACCACTAAAGTCCAGAGAAGCTTGGGCAGGACCTTAGGAACTGTCACGTCTACCCACACGGCACCCGCCAGACCACTAGTTACTACAGAGAACTGTGATGGTTCAGCTTTGCTACCAGATTGTCGCACTGACCCTACCTGAAGGCGGCTGTCCTTTAGCCCTTGCCTGGCCCCAGGTGCAGCTGGTTTCTACGGTGAAAGGCCCTTTGGGAGGGGCGCCCTGAGGCCAAGATGAATTTTTTTTATCAGAGTCTCTGGAGGAGTGTACAAAGGTCCTTTCCCCTCGGGCCCTGAGGGCACAGCAGGTCTGCTTTTAAACAGGGTCATTCCTGAGGCCTCTGGCCCATTTTCAAAATTACATCCGTGAGCCACAGCTCAAAACAGCTCCGCAGAGAGGTAAGACATCTCCGCTACAGAAACAGAGTGGGTTCTCTGATCTGTTTTATTTTGGGCACATTTCATATTCCTTGAAAGGCCTTAGAAATAAGGGCCAAGCTCTTGGTCTAGATCTAGGACAAGTACAGGTTAGTTTAACCGTCGAGAATCCTACGCCCTCCACAGCACGGCAGGTAGGCAAGGCCCCCAAAGAACCGCACGACACCGCACTTCGTGTTTGCTTGTTTCCCAAAGGGACCGGAACGGAGCTAACATGCACAGAGAAGCCGTGCCGTTCCTGCCCATTCACTGCCATCCGGACAGGCCACTCCACTAAATGATAACCAGTCAGTCAGGACAGCAAACCTTCTCTTGTGAAACCTGAGAACCGGAGAGGCTAAGCAATAGTCTAAATAGATACGGCAAGTGTGGCATTTGCGTCTAGCATGAGGATGAGCTCTAGACACACAGCTTGGCATTCGAAGCTGCCCCCGCCCCCACCCCCACCGCCCTCACCTCCAGCTTCACTTCTGGCCCTTACCCTGCTCAGCCGATTCCAAAGGACTCCCCTTGCCCCCTCCCGCCACGCCCCGCCTCCAGGCACATGCTTCACCCCCCCCCCCCGCCTTGCGCCCTGTCTGCGTGCGCCTCTCCTGTCCTCCGCTCAAACGCCTAGCCCTCCAGAGGCTCCTTGCCCCCAAGGGCTGGGCTCACGTTCACGGAGCCCTGCAGCCTCTTTATATCGCTCAGAGGGCCTTGTAGCTTCTTCCCTAGTGTTACAGTCACTGAGATCCGTGTCTTCTCCCCCATACCTCTCCCATGCTGCCCAAGGGCCGGGTCGGGATGTGACTGCGCAGAGGTGTGTGTCACATCTGTGTACACAAGTGTCTGTGCACAGGCTAGTGCTCAGCAAGTGGCCGGTAGTGGGGAGGGAAGGAAGGAGACAGGAAACAAGGTAATTATAAGAGTGAACACTAGAAAATTTCCGGTACATGTTTAAGTAGTAACCTTACATTTTTATTGGTGCTTTTGTCTCCAACACAGGAACCTTGAGAAAAATGGCTGAACAGCCATAACTGGCCCCGAGAAGCCTCCCAGGCTCCCGGGAAGGGATTCTGAGCCCAAGTGTTGAAAAGATGGACAAACAAGAAACAGCTGCTGGGCCAAGGATGCTGAGAGCAATCTGCCAAGGCCAGCACTGCCATCCCTGTCCAGAAACAGTGCATAGGCCTTTGTCTCATGACAAGTGCGGACTGTGGGACCCCTTCAGAAGTGGGGGTGGGAACCACGGACCGTAAGAGCTCCTCTCTGGGGTTCCAAAAGGAAATGGAAACCTGGGTCTTCCTGGTACAGTGGGTATGCAGGGAGCCAGCAAGCAAGCTGCCCGCCTGTGCAGGCGCACACTTCCTAGAGGGAGAATCCGCTGCTCTTCTGAGAGGTGGCCCCGGGCCAAGGAGGGCCACCAAGAAACCATAGGCGGCTTACCAACGGCCCCGGGGGGCCAGAAAGAGGTTTAAACCACCCCAGCTGAACATGAGATAATTCTAATCTTTCAAGAAATTGCCTGAAAGGCAATAAACATTGTCAGGAGGAAGAATGTAATAAGTCATTCTCTCTTTGGAAGTCTCCCTTAAAACTTGGAAGTCTCTAATCATCTCTTTAGGAGACAGGCCTGGAAAGCAAGCCAGAGAGCCCGAACCCTCCTGTTCCTGCCAGGCACACACATCCAGACGTGAGATAAATCATTCCTTTGACTGTCCCATGGGAAATACCCCATAAAAACGCATCACTCTTGGCCACACACACACAGGCTCACGAGGTTTTCCTGCAGGCTCAGCTTTGCTGTGCTTAGCGGCTGTGGGTGGCATCTGTTTAACTGGCACATCTTAAGCGCAAGCCTGGGTGTGCTGGCCACCAAGGCCAGGCTCTCCCCTCCGTGGGGAAGAAAGTTCCTGTCCTCCTACCCACTCCCTTGTAGCTTGCACACACACACACACCCCTGCAAATCAGAGGGACCTGGGTTCAAATCCCAACTCACTACTTGTGTGACTTTGGGCAGGTTACTTCTTGGAGCTTTGCGTTTCTGATTTATAAACGTGATGACAGCAAATATCTCTCTCACACGGACCAGGTGCCAGGCCCTGAGCCAAGCACTGTACATCATAAATGTTCTTGTTTACACCTCCAGGGGCCTGCAAAGCCATTCGCAGGCTCCCCGGTATACAGCTGAGGGCATCAGGCCCGGAGAGAAAGCAGCTCATTGCCCACAGGGCGCAGGGTAGAAGTAGGGGGTAGGGACTGCACCACTCTGCTATGGCATGTCCTCGCAAAAATCCCTCCTGAAGGAGCATGAGGAGGACAAAGTGCCCACTATGTCCTCAACTGTCATCTCTCCTCCTCCCTGGGACAGGCACAGCTGTTTTAGAGAGTAGAGCTCGGGGCGGGGGTGGCCAGGAGCCTGAAGTCTGCCCCTCCCAGGCCCTCACGGTGCTGAGACACGGGGGACGTGGCTCCTTCTCTCCGGATTCCTGTTTCCCAACCATAAAACGGAAGGTGAGGTCTGAAGCAGGGTGTCCGACCTTTGGGCGTCCCTGGGCCACACCGTTAGAAGAGTTGTGTTGGGCCACACATTTAATACATTGCGACACGTAATCACACATTAAACAAAAAAAATCTCACAGTGTTTTAAGTAAAGGTACGATTTTGTGTTGGGCCGCACTCACAGCCACCCTGAGCCCCTTGGGGCCCGCAGGCCGCGGGGGGGACTGAACCCAGTGCTTCCTTCCAGGACCAACGTTGTATGACTCCTCTCTGAAGCGCCCACAGGGGCCCCCTGCGGAGGCGGCGCTGGCCGTCACTGGATGCACAGGCCGCAGGAGGCCCACCGGGAAAAACTCCGGGGGGTCGAGGGTCCGGCACACGGAGGCTCCAGCCCTGAGGGCGTGTCTGGAATCCTGTGACAGGCTCATCGCTTGTTGCCCTGCCTCAGTTTCTCTCAATAAAATTCATGTGACCTCCAAGAGATCTTTCTAAAACGCAAATTAAGACATGGTAATCACCCTACTTGCATACTTTCAATGTTCCTTTAAAATATAAACTGGAAAGGGAAACTAGGAAGGAAGGACATAAATGAAGAGAGACTTAATAAGGGACACTTACGAGGCCTAGCGACCCAATGTTTTGGGAGAATTTCATTTTGATCTTAATTTTAAAAACCAACTGTAAAAAACAATTATAACACAAAGGTCTGAACACGCTGGAGATTTGAGAATATTAAGGAATTAATGTTACATTTTTTAGGTATGATGATGTTCCTCGATTTCCAGCAGAAAGCTCTTATCTTTAAGAGACACATACTGAATCTTTTATAGATGAAATAACATGATGTCTGGAATTTGCCTCAAAATAGTCTGGAAGGTGGAGGGGAAGGAAGCGTTACAAGGGAAGCAGGGGCGGCCACGTGTTAGTAGCTGTTAAAGACAGAAGACAGCCACCTTGGGCGGCCACCTCCTCTGCCTAACCCTGTAGTTTGAAAACAGCCCCCTGGGTACCGCAGCCGTTTCCGAGCAGGACCCCCCGTGAGCCCCGCTCCGCAGCCTCTGCTGCGGCTGAAGGAAGTTCTCGCCACCCCTTCCTCATGCTGAGCTCCTTCAAGCACAAGGTCCCTCCCCCTGACATGCCCTTTGTCCACTAGGACACAAGCACCAGGGCCACGCCATCTGGGTTCAAATCCAGGGCCTGCCACTTACTAGCTGGGTGACCCTGAGCAAGTCGGTTAACCTTTCTGGGGCTCCATTTCTTCAGCTATAAAGCCTAGATGATAACGTGCCTGCCTCACTGGGCTCTTTTAGCTGAGAATGGCTCCTGGCACGTGATAAGCCTCCACAAAGTAGCTGCTATTCCTGTCCTTCTCCAACTGGCAACATTCCACTCCTTTTTCAGGGCCCCACGGGAAGCCCCGTGCGCTGAGCCGGCTCTCCCATCGCCGGGAGGGGTGCGCCCTCTGCGGTCCCCGCAGCGCCGCAGCCGCCGGGCTGCGCGCCACGGAGGTCTGCAGAAGCTCCGTGTCTGTGGGCATCTGGGGCAGGCCCAAGCCCCTCTTTGCCTGCGTTCCCCCACCCAACGCCGAGCTCCCAGCGAAGGACCAGGTCTGCCTTGACTTTCGGGCCCCAGTTCAACTTAAGGTCTACCTTCAGTTTGGGGTTATACGCTCCAAATATACTTCACTATTTGCTTCCTGAATGAACAAAAAACTTGGTTATTCCCACCTGAAAAATGGACATTCTGCTTACACCTTCTCTGCTCCTAGGTCTCAGCCATCAGCCCATTTAGATAAATTACCATTAAAAAAACAACTGAAAGACACACCTGGATTTTAATCTCTCAGCTTTCTCAGAATCGAAGTTGCTAAAACAAGACTCTCCATTCTCAGTTAGGGGTGGAGGGAGGGGGAGGGGCTAGCCATGGCTTCCCCCAAGATTATCCACAGCTTCCATTTTATAGGTCACTAAAAAGCGCTGCGCCTGGGCCCCGGAGGGCTGCGGGGGGCGCGGGGGGGCCGTCCTAGGCAGACATCAGAGGTAATTGCAGGAAGCCTAAGCAGTGTTGAATGTGCAAGCTGAGAGCATAAAGTTATTTTAAAAGAAGAAAGCGTGGGTTATTACCAACCGGCCCTCATGACCCATCTCCGACCGCTTTTTGGCAAGCAATTAACAAAGACACCACTTCCTCTGCGCTCCGCCCGCGGAGCTGAAGCTGCCCCCAGCTGCTGGGGAGTGGACTGAGAGAGTCTTGTCTTGTTTCAAGACACCGAACCTCTTCAGTTTACCACCCGCCATTCCTTCACAGCCATGAAGCGGTGGGACTCACGCAATGCCGGCCACCACCACGTCAAACGCCGACCCGGCCCCCGGCCGCCTCCCAACACCGTCCATCCTGGGCGGCCTTATAAGCAAATCGATCTGCGATGCAATCCATGACTCTGGGCTTTTTCTTGTTTTCAAGAGCTAGTTACAGTAAGCCCATGAACCTGCCCCAAGAAAGAGCTGGCTTAAATTTCCTCTCCCTGGTCCCTGTCCCCGAGCTGTGTCTGTCCCTCCAGTCAGCAGCCATCTGCCCCGTTTCAGAGTTCACACGAGGCTATGCCTCCGCCCCTCCCCCACGGCAGGAATTCTTTTCTCCCTGAGTCAACCCTCTCTCCCCGCCCGCCACCCTTCGGTCCTGAGCACAGCACCTCGGACGTAAAATGTGCTCAATAAATCCCCACTGAGGCGTGCTCACCTACCCAGCAAAAACAGGAAGTTTCAGTGTTTACACACATGGAAAGGGCAGAAGAAATGGGGGAGGGGAGTTAACCTAAAGGTTTTTCCCATAAACTCTCACAATCACACTGGCTTCTGCAGTGAAGGCTGTTCCCGAGGCCACCGCTGAAGTAGATCATCACTGACCCTTCTGCTCCCGGGGAACACGGGCCCGACCGCGGAAGGGCCAGGAGCACTGCGGGCATCCCCTCCCATGTCACGGATGAGGACGCGGAGGCCAGGCCGCCACAAGCAACCTGTGGTCCCATGCAGGACTGGGACCCGATTCTTTGGGCTCTCGGCCCAAATTGCGCGCCTTCCCGATTTTTGCCCCACCAACGGGGGCGTGTGCTGGGTGCAGGGACCTGGCCCGCGGCAAGGGCCCCGCAACTGTCTCGCAGAGGGAGCCAGGCTTGGCACGCACGTTTGGCCTCAGCTCCGGACCGACACCAGGGTCTCCGTGAGCCAGCAGTCGTCTGGAAGGTCAAAGCCACAGTTTCCCCCACGGTGACCCTGACCGGGACATGGGACCATGAGGTATACTAGTTAACAAAAGGGTAGAACGTGGAGCCAGGAAGAGCTGAGTTTGAATCCTGACCCTGTTCCTTTTCTCATGGACCCTTGAGCAAGTTCATTACCAGGTCCAAGCCTCCCTATAAAACCAGGATAAGCATGACACCTCTTGAGGGGCGAGAGGGAAACCAAAGGAGAGAACGGAGACGGGGTGCTCGGGATATGCACGTTCCGGAGGCAGGAACGCACGCTCAGCCTTCTCTCCTTCTACCTCACGTCTGGTCGCCTGTGGTAAGGACTAGGACAGGGTGTGGGTCCCACTTCTGACACAGGTAAGGTGTGACGAATGCAGGCCCCAAACAAATGAATACTAAACGAGGGGCTTCCTACAGGAGGGCAGTGACATTTTACAATAAATCTCATTTCTCTGCCATCCCTCTAAGAAATAGTCTCCTGACAGACAGAAACAACGTGTGTGACACGCTGACAAAGGGGCCCCAAAGGGGGCCTCGCCCCCCACTCCACCACGCAGTCGGAGCCTTGGCGAAGGGCGCGGGAGGGGCTCACCAAGAAGGGCATTGTGCCCGCTGTCATCCGGCAGGAACCTCTTGTCCACGGCGCACACCAGGAGGTGGTCCGGCAGGCTGGGGGCCTTGGCGCCCACGAGGAGGAAGCCTGCGGGGACGTCGATGGGCTCGCTGGAGATGGAGACGAGGCGCAGGTCCTTCCCCGCCTGGCAGAAGCCTGGAGGAAACACGGGGCTCAGGCGTGGCCACGGGCCCTCCCGAACTGGCCCTCGCGGGCCCCAAGCTCAATCACCTGGAGCAGTTCCCCAAACGGACTGTATTCTCACCCTGCCAAGCCCTTGCACATGCTGTTCCTCTCACCGGAAGGCCCCAGTCCCCCCAACCCTCTTACATGCCCCCAGCCAGCTCCTGCTAACCCTTCAAAACCCAGCTAAAGGACCACCTCCTCCAGGAAGCCCTCCCCTAGCTGCGTTAGGAACCCTTTCTGCGCGCACCCCTCCTTGCCCCGCCCACCCTCCTAGCACTTTCTACCGCAGGAGCCAAGTGTCTGCTTGTCTATTACAGGCCAGCCTATCACGGGGCTCCTGACACAACGTGTGTCTGCTTTTTTAACGGTGAAATACCGACAGCTGTAAAAGCTTACAGCCACCAATCAGTTCCAAGTTAAATACTCACACGGTGCAACCACACCTGAGTTGCAAAAATATATTTTAGTTTTCCAATAACTAGGGTAGAAAGGTGAACTTTGGGGTCTGAACCCACTTGTAAAGCTGAGGCTGTCCACAGAGCGGCCGAGGGGCGCTGAGCCTGACCGGGCCCCACGGCGTGGTGGAGCCAGGGCTGCATGTATGGGAGGTCACCCCGGCCGCTGCTAGTGGGGGCCGTGGGCACAGGGGACCCCCGCGACACACAGCCGTGGATGCTGGGCAGCGGACGCCACCTGGCGGGGCGGCAGGCTCACCGTCTGTGGTGCAGCATCCTTCAGGCGGAGGGTGCATCTGATAGGGGTTTGGGGGGCAGTTCGGCTCCAGCCCCGCTTCCCCTTCTTCTTCCTCTTCCTCATTGTCGACACGGCTACCGCCTAGTCAGGGGAGACAGGAGAGGAGCGGGAGGCAGAAGCGAGTACTCACTCAGCAAGTCCCAGCTACTCAATAATTAATCCGCCCGCACCCCACACCGAGTCGGACAGCACCACCGTCTTCACGGGGGAGGCCGAGGCGCATTCATATGCATGGCTCTCCCGAGGTCGCAGCCTCGGGCTCTGAGCCAGGCCTCGTGACTCCAGGGTCACGTCCCGTCCCATCCACCAGAGTTGCACATGTCTGCACATGCACTGGGTTTCGGGCTGTATATACTGGGTTGGCCCAAAAAGTTCACTCGGTATTTTTCCTTACGACGGCTCTAGTGCTCAGTTGTCTTCAACTTCGTTCAAAATGACTTCGTTAGACTGCATTGGGACAGCTGTCACATCGGCGTGCATTCAAAAAACTTACCAAAATGGGTTTTTTGTGCAGCCATTTTAATATTGAAGATGGGAGAAAACCCGATATTTTTGGCATACTATGCTTTATTATTTCAAGAAAGGTAAAGATGCAACAGAAATGCAGAAAATAAAAAGATTTGTGCAGTGTATGGGGAAGGTGCTGTGACTGGCTGACCATGTCAAAAATGGGTTGCGAAGTTTCCTGGCGCTGTGGGCATTTTGGCCGAATAATCATTCTCTGCGGGCTGTCTCACCATGGGAAGATGCTGAGCAGCACCCCCGGCCTCTCGCCGCTGGAGGCCAATAGCAGGAGATCGCCGACATACACAAAATATCCAAATCAATACTTATTGGTGAAAATGACAAATCTCTTTTATCTTATGGAAAAAACTAAGTGGACTTTTTAGCCAACCCAATCACCGGTGGAAAAGGATAGAGCAGGAAACCTGTACCTACCAGGCACTCCGAGAACGTCTGTGTGGGAGGTACCGTGATGTTAAAATAAACCATTTTACAGACAAGGACGCAGAGGCTCAGAGACCCGTGACGCCCACAGCTGCTCAGTGGCGAGCCAAGGAGCACAGGCAGTTAGCTCCCGGGCGTGTCTGACGCCCAAGCTGCGGTTCTGGCTGCCAGCTGCTCGCTCAGGCTTTGCACACACAGGAGAGCAGTGTGGCTGTGCGTCATTCCGTACCCCAGGGAAGAAGGCAGATATCACCCCAGATATACACACCCCCCCAAATTGGTCACACCCACACACAAAAAGCCACTTCAGCACAGGACGAGGCATTCTGTGGGCTCAGGAAACTCCTCTTAAGTGAAACAGGAGTAATGTCCAACGTGGACCGGCCAAGAGAGCCAGGAACTAGCCAAGGGAACCTCACTGCTCCCCACAGACCCTCCGCTCCTGGGAGGGAACCTGCCCCTACTCCTCGCTGTCATCCAGGCGCCCAGCAAAACGCCGCCCCCCGCAGCAGCACTCCGCTCCCACCCAACGTCACTAGAGAAGAGCGGGGCTCAAGTCAACGATTTTCAAGACTGTTGAAGTGTGGTCTCTCCAACTTCCTTTAACAGATATTTTGGTTTTTAAAAAAACGTCTATTTTGCCCTGGCTGGTGTGGCTCAGTGTACTGAGCACCGGCCTGCAAACCAAAGGATCACCGGTTCGATTCCCAGCCAGGGCACAAGCCTGGGTTGCGGGCCAGGTCCCCAGTAGGGGGCACGTGAGAGGCCACCACACATGGATGTTTCCATCTCTTTCTCCCTCCATTCCCCTCAGTCTAAAAATAAAATCTTTAAAATATAAAATTATTAAATTTTTTAAAAGTCTGTTTCCATTTGCCTTTAAATATCATTTAATAAAGAGCACACAAATTTCTTCATGAAACAGGGTCGCTGCGAACACCCTTGAACACACTAGGCTAGGAGACAGCGGCCTCCTCTTTGCTGCCCTGTGCCCTCTCGGACGCTGGCCTCCTGGCGGCCACCTCTGCACCCCCGTCCACCCGGGGGCTTCCAGGGTTCGAGGTGAATGACGACATTATGTGCAGCGGAAAGAGGTGGCACTGGGACTCAGGGGACTCGCATCACAGGCCTTGGGTCCGCCACCATCTGTGTGGCCGCGTGAACATTCCTGAACCTCTCTGTGGGGGAGGGGGGCCTGCAGCTGTAAAATGAGGGCGCTGGGGCTGGGGCAGCGACGTGGACAATCAGGTCCTGAGAAGCCTCCAGGCGTGACTTCATCGGCGCAGGTGCCGCAGGGACCCCCACAGTGGCCACCATTTTAAAGGCGCCGGAGGGGCAGGAGGCAGAAGAAACGGGGCGTTTCAAGCCAATTCAGACCATGACCTTGGGAGGTCACAGCAGGAGGGAAGGTCCTGGACGTGGGGGACCCGGAGGGGACGGGAAGAGTGTAACAGACTCTCCGGGGAGCACACAGCGGGCAGGAGGTACCTGCGGAGCCTCCGGGGGAGGCTTCCTTCCCGCTCTTGCCTGCAGGCAAGGGGCCTTCCAGCAGAAGGTGCCCTCACACCCAGACCCCGGGCGCCAGCCCCACAGCACAGCTCACCAGGGCCCTCAACGGCCCTGCCACTGTGGCGTGGGTGGCATAGATGGCCCCTCTGCAAAGTCCAGACTATGCACAGGCAGTGCTCGAGGCTCAGAGGGGACGGCGAGGACCCAAGGGGCAGAGGGAAAAGGGGAGGGAACGTCTCGGGCGCGCGAAGAGAAGGCACACGCACCATCACCCGCACGCTGCTCCGCTAAGCCAAGCCGAGAGGAGCTGGAACGCAGTCTCTCAGGCAGCATGAAAGAAGAGGGCTTGAGCCTCAGAAAGCCAAAGAAAGAGCTCAAAACTCAGTCTCTACGAAAGCAGGATTAGAGGTCAAAGGTCTGCGTGAGACCTCCCAGGGCCTGGGAGGGGATGTGTGAGTCAGCCAGCCGAGCCTGGGGGGGCTCCCTAACAGGGAGGGAGCTGGACGGCTGACCGAGCGGGAGGGCCCTCGCACGGCGCTGAACACAGCCAGCAGGGTGGGGGCCCGAGGACCACGAACCACAGCAGGGCTCCAGAGCTTCTGCAGCGGCACTTTGCTCCTGGGACCTGGGGCTGCTCATCCCGATGTGCGCACAGAAGAAACTGCGGCATTCGGGGGGTGGGCGTTATAGACACTTACCTGCGTCGTCTTTAACAAATACCAGGCCGGTATTCTTTTCGTCTGGTTGGCCTTTCTTTTTAAAAAATAAATAACACAAAGGGTTTCCCCCTAGAAGGAGGTGGTGAGACCCCCAATTCGAGAACAAAGTAATCAAGGCCCTGTTGAGTCACCCTCCCAAGTACAGAAAAGGCTGCTGAGCGAGGGCTGTTTAGTGCACCAGCACCCTGGCCCTAAAGATCCCCTTTAAGGTTATTGACTGAGGAAGGCCAGCGATAAGATAAGAGACCCTGACAGAGAGATGGGCAGACACAACCTCAAGACGGCACGTCCTGCGCAAGCCGCCTGCAGCCCGGTGTAGGCAGCAGACGCCAGGGAGTGGAGTAGAGCACTCGGTTTCCGCTGGCGGCCTTTAGCCGAGCACACTGAGCCTTCCCTTCCCCCGCCCACGAAGCTCCCCTGCTAGGAAAACAAAACCTCAAGCGGCTGTGTCCACTCTGTCTGCTGGACAAATGGGAAAAGCACACAAAGAGCTTTCATACCAACATGAGGGCAGGGCAAGGGGGCCACCAGCCGGCAGGGAAACCTCAGCCCCCAACACAGGCGGCACATGGAGCAAATGCCTCGAAACGGTCCCCGAAGAGTGTCGCTTGCCCAGCGCCCCATCGGCCGGGGGGGCATCCTGAGAGGCAGCCTCCCAGGTGGAGGCCACGGAGGAAGGTTGCCTGTGGAGATCTTAGACACACAGAGGGGCCCTCCACCCGCGCCTCCTCTCTCTCCCCAGGTGAGCGTCCTTCAAACGCCTAGCAAACTCGTGTTCCGTCTTCCCGAATCACGGGATTCAGTTACCGCAGCTGGTGCAGGTGAAGCACTTGGTAGATTTTACGGTGCCGTTCAAACGCACTCAATTATTTATCAGTGTAATGATCCTTAATTTGTCATGAGCAACCAAGCCTTTCAACGCTGTCCGAAGTTAAGGATGACTATTTAATATGTATTTCCCAAGTCTTTCTGCTATAAAATATTCTCCCGTTATTTCTCATCTGCCCACGATATCACAGTCATATTTCCTATGCTGGAAACTGTTAGTACTTCCCATGTAAAGAGGGGAGAACTGTTGGTTTTCCTAATTTGTGCTTCTAGTCCTTGGCTGCTGCTATCTACGAGGTGAATTCGGTAAGGACGTGTTCGAGCGTGGCACGGGAGGGCCTCCCTGCTGGGAGAAGGCGCTCAGGTGTCCCACAAGCAGATCCCCGCCTCATTTTCCCTGATAGGCGGCCCCCACCTGCCCAGCCCCCGCCCCCCACACACACATTCACACACAGGCTCCCGTGCACACCGACACGGCTCACATGTCACGAGCACCCCGACGCAGGGCCTGGGGTACTGCACACTTCCAAGTTAGTTAATTAATGTTTGTTTTCAACCACAGCCTCTGTCGCTTGACAAGCTCAGTGAAGTCTGCAGGGAACTTCAAGCAAAAGACAAAAACCGATGAAAAGAACATCCCTCACAGGAGCAAGTCTTGTACTAGGGGATGGCTGTGGGGTCACTTCCGACGGGTCGATACCCGGCTGTAAAAATGCGAACGCAAGGCTGAAAAATACAGCCGCTTCGTTCCCTGGAGAATGAAGTCAACCCTAAAGTTGTCCCCAGGCCTGAAGATAATTTATTTAATCCTGGCACACGTGAAATTCATAAAGGTTTGTTGTTTTTTAAACCTTTCCAGAGGCTTCTAGTGCCTGCTTTGACAAGAGAAGCTACCTGGACTGCTTTGCAAAGACGTGGCCGTGAATCACAGCACAAGGAGAAGAAGGCAGCTGAGGGTTAAAAGCTCGTTACCGTTTCTCACTTATCCAAGAGAAAACATCAGACCTTTTAATAAGTCGCAGCCAGTTCAGAACAGTCTAACAGGCCCTCGCCCTTTCTCCGATTAGTCCCATGTGTCATTTTATTCTTTGCAACCTATAGCTGAAACTTAGTTTAATTTTCACCAGGTATGAATTTATGTGCCACTTTCTTTTTCTAGCAATTTTGTTCTGCCCGACTCAACGCTGTCTGCACAGAGCAGAAGAGGAAAGGGTTCCAGTCCCGCAGCTAACACTGACAGCACCCAGCAGAGAGGGGACCCACCAGCACGCCACCTACCTTCCAGGGCCGAGAGCCGCTGCTCGGCTTCCAGGTAGAGCTGGGAGAAGACAGGCCGGGGCACCAGGCTGTTGGAGCGCAGCGAGGCCTCGATGGAGTTGTGCAGGACCTCCTCAAACCGTGTCGTCTTCAGCTGTCCCGCGTAAGAGTTCCCCATCTTCAAAAGGCACGATGGAGTCTTCTGTTCAAAACGGCATTTCAGTTCCGGTTAAAAAGGCCGACCCACACGTGAAGCCCAGAGGCAGAAAGCAAACCCCTGCTCTGCAGAGAGGAGGCGCGGGTGGGGCTCAGCCACAGTCAGTGCCGGGCAATTACAGGAAGTTATATAAGTCGCGGCTTTCCCTAGCGGAGCTCTCGGATGGCAGCCTCCGACACCTTAGAAAATGGCACTAGAAATAGGCTCTTGGGCTTCCCCAGGTTTCACAGACCCCCTCCCCCGGCCCCGGCTTTTCCCTGAGTTGGGATCCTGCCCCTGAGAGACCCCAGACCAATGAGGCTCTATTTTCCTGGACTGGTAGGAGAATAGCCCCGCACCACCTTGTGTATGTGACGGCAGCTGACAATCCGGTGATCTGCGACACCCGGTCCCCAGGTTTTAGGTTTACTCAGCTGCCCCTTGCTTCTCAGGAAGTTCGCTACAGATTTCCCATCCTTGTCTTTGCTGCTAAAAGCCCAGTTATGAACATTCTCCCTTTAAAATGGTTTTTGGTTTACTATGCAAGTGACAAATGATGCCAAATTATATCTGGAAATTACAAAAGCAGGTGGAAAGCAAGGAAACTCACAGGTGTTTCCATTCCCCGAGATAAGCGCTCTGATTTTTATTTTATTTTATTTTTTTTGGTAGCAGCTTCATTCAGCTACAATTCACACACCATGTCATTCACCCACTGCAACTGCCCAGTTCAAAGGTACAGAGTATGTCCTCAGTGCTGTGCGATCACCGCATGCGGGACCTCAGAACATCTCGTAGCTCCGAGAAGAAGCCGCACACCCCTGCCCGTCACTCCCAACGCCCCCTCCCCCGAGCCTCCAGCCCTCAGCGTCTACTCATTTCCTTCTGTCTCTGTAGCTTTGTCTACTCTGGAGATTTCGTGTTAATAGAATCATACAGCACGTGGTCTTCTGTGAGGGGCTTCTCTCAGCGCAAGGCATGTGAGGTCCACCTCACGCATCCGTGTTCCGTTCCGACTGTGATACTGTAATGTATTCTTCCCAATTTAATTCCCTCCCGAACTTGGGGGTGAGAGGGGAATGGGCGATCGTGTTCACAAGGCTATAATCATTCTGTAACACAACTTTTTATTCCACTTTTTAAACTTGATGGAAGCCTTTCACCCACTCCTCTTACAACTGCTTTGAAACGGTTTTGAAGGCTGCACCGCATTCCACTGTATGAAGGCGGAGATACTCGCACAGACATTTCTCCCGGACGGGACATGTGGTCAAATCTCTAAAGTTTAGTCCTTCCCAAGAACCACCACTTAAGTCTATAGCCTTTCCTAATGTTTTCCATGTATTTTCTATTTCATTAAATTTATCTTTTGTTTTTCTGTTACCCTCTTTCCATTTCCTTTTGGTTTAATTTCTAGTACTTTCCCCAAACTTCTTAAAATCACTACTTTATCATCATTTTTATTTCCCCATCTTACTTCTTTAATAATGAAGACAGGGTTATCCATTTTCTTCTGGGCATGACTTTTGCTACAGCACGTAGGTTTAGGTTAAAGCCCTCTCCTTTTCATATCTTTTTAGACACTTTATGACCTCCGCTCTGAATTCCGCTTTGAGCTGATAATTATCCAGAGTATATACTTAATTTCTAAGTAGTCAAGACATGGGGAGGAGGGGGGTCAGCCTTCTATTATTTCTTTCTAATTTGTATTGGATTGTGAACATGACTGTAGCGTTAGAAACTTTTTAAATTTGTCAAGGGTTTCTTTTGGGGGACACCTAATGCATTTTTTTAAAATATACTATCAATATGAGAAAAGGCTGTACAAAACCTCTTCAAGGGATGAAAGGAGCTAAATTATTCAAATCTCCTATGGGAAATAGACAATCCTTGTATATTTCTTGTCTACTATACTGTTGATTTTTTTTTTTTACATTTTTTAAACCTCATCTGAAGATTTTTTTATTATTATTGATGATTAGAGAGAAAGACAGACAGACACAGAGACAGAGAAACACTGAAGTGAGAGAGAAATGTTGATCAGCTGCCTCCCATTCACACCCCGACTGGGGATCAAACCTGCAACCTAGATACATGCCCTGACCGGGAGTCAAACCCAGCCCCTTTTGACATACAGGCAACGCTCCAACCAGCTGAACCACCCAGCCAGGCCTCTACGGTTGGTTTTCAAGGTCACATTTGACTTCAAACACAGCACAAGAGGCGGCTGCCGTGTGCTCACAGGACAGCAGCTTCCCGGTTTACTTACAGCGACACACGCCGGCCACCCTGGTGGGGCAGCTGGCGTCCCCAGCCGTGCACGGTCTCACACTGAGGCTCACGGTGCACACTAGAAGTGGCCCTGGTCCTTGCTCTGCCGGCGGCAGAGCTGTTTCAAGATGGGACCGCTGGTGCCCTTTGGGAGCACCAGTCCCCACGGGAAGCCCAAGAGGGCTGGTGTCACGTCGCTGATCTTCCGCCTCTGTTGCAAGAAAGGCCTTCCTCATCCAGCTTGAAGTAAATGGAAACCATGAGACACTTCGCGCTCGCGGCAATAACTCCTGAGCAGGGGCCCTGGCCAGCGTCGGCTGCAGCCTGGGACGGAGCTGCGGGGCTCATGGCCGCAGGAATTGGCCCCAGCAGAAAGAAAGTGCCCCCGAAAGAGAGAGGGCAACTGCCGGAGGCATCAAACAGCCCCAGACGAAGAGGTGTCAGGGCTGCCTCGCCCGCCTTTCTGTTGATAGGCTGCAAACTCCAGAGCAGTGGTGAGGGCTTGCCGGCCATATCTGGGCACACTGGCATTATTTTTGATTCAGGGTGGATTATTTGAAGCCACCACCAATTAATGAGATCAGAAAGGTTCCCTATTTCTGCAGAGCTTTGTCTGAGGAGTTTAACGCACACACAAAGCTTGAAGTCCAGCCCGTTTGACGTGGAGACCCTGCAGAATCGCACTTAAAGATTGATCAGGACATTAGACCCTACGCTCCCAAGGTCCTGCCCAGCTCACCTGACAGCTGATCGGCACCCAGAGCCCCAGGGATTCCACCCCGTTAAAGCAGATCGATGCCTAATGTGGAGAGAACCATAAAGAGGGACAAAATACAGTGTTCACTGGCCAGGGTCTGCGTGCAAAGCACTGGGCGCGCCCCCTCACTTAACACACACGGTGGCCAGGATAGGGTATGATGAAGCCCATTTTAAGATGACAAGTTCAAGTCCTGGAGATGATAAGTAATCTGAAGGAGCTCTTATGGGAGGAAAAGAAATAGAATTGGGGGGGGCGGGTGTGGAAGGAGATTGTGGGGGAGGGGACAAACCCAAAAGAACAGCGGCACAGGGAAACGTTCCCACTCAAAGTGGAAGTTTTCTTTTATGACCCTGAGCAAGCATCAAAGCTTTCGTGTCCACAAGCCAACAATGGCAGAGAAAACATGTCCCGCTCCCTATTGAACGACGATCTGAAGTCCCATTACATAAACACTGAGGTCAGGATCCAGAGCACTGAGGACCCCAGGAAATGGTGTGGCCCTTTCGGTCAGTCCCCCTGGACCACAATTGCAGGACCAGCGATCTCATCATACAGACAGGACACCGGCCAGGGGAGGAGGGTCGAGGACCAGAGGGCAGAGCAGGCTGAGGTGGAGGCACAGAATCCCACGCGTGTCTGTCGGGGAGCCACAGGGCTCGCTCAAGGTCAAACGCAGACGCCTAAACCTACCCCGTGCCTTGCAGGACGGAAGGCCTCCCTCCTGGGCGGCTCTGGCCCTCTCGGCCTGGGTGCCTTCCCGCTGCACGTGCGCTTGGTCAGGGAGCCGCAGGCGTCTTCCGCACCCGACCGCCAGGCGAAGGCAGGGAACAGGCGTGACTACCGGAGGCGTCCAACTCTGCCAAAAGGAGTGGCACGGGTTCTGCCAGAGCAGGGGGCGAATTATTGATGGGTGGGCAAACACTTAACAGAAGAACGCCAGTTAGTACTGCAGGAAAAATATGAGGCTGTAGGGGAATTATGAAAGATGTAATTAGAGCGAGTCTATGCTGAGTGCTGATCTAACCAGAGTTTCAGACAACCCTTCTGGAAGGGTGGGGCTAGGAAGGCCTTGTGTGTCAGTGAGGCTGTGTTTTGAGGGAGGAAGAGAGAGGTGTAAGCTCAATTCTCCTCTTTCACAGGAAGACTTAAAAGAGGAGGCAGAAATCAATAAGGAATTGCAGCACTAGTTATTATTCATAAAGAACGAGGTAAATTCCCAAAAAGAAAACAAACGATAGTTAAGAGTTGGTTGCCTCGAGGGAGGAAGTGGCGTGGAAGTAGGCTAGGAGACCGCTGGTTTTCATTCTAAAGCTTAGAATAGAATCGAATAGACTCTTTAGACCACAAATATTTAAAGTCATTAAAAACTGAAGGATACATTTAAAAATAAATGAAATGCAGGCATAAAAATGAACAGAGGACAAACAGAATCTCAGGAGCAGAGCAACCGAAGGTCACGGTGAACTACTGACTGGGAGCCAAGGAAGGCCGCGCCGCAGGGCATTTCCACAAGCTCCCTCTGATTTAATCCTAGCCACAGTCCCAGCTGGCATTACTTCTACCCCTACGTCTATCCCTGTTTTATAGATGAAGCAACTACGGCTCAGAGAGGTCGTGAGTCCTGTCCAACGACACATAGCTCGCGCCTGGTCGGCCACTGAGAGCCCTCCTCCAGAGGGTCTCTTCTGTGAGGAGGAGAATGAACAAGCTGAGATCAACAGACGCCCTCTGATGAAGGCCTATAAATCTGTACTACCATTACCTTCTCGTGGACGAGACGTGGCCCCCTTTATAGGAAGCCAGACATGCCTCTAAACTTCTAAGGGACAGCGCCAGGAAGCTGGCCTCTGAGACTAAGCAGGCACTCTCCGGCGCCACCAGACCTCCTCCGGGACCAAGTGTTCTCGGCAGCGGTGCTCCAGGGACCCATAAAACCCCGCAGTTACCGAGGGAGTCGCTGCCTGTACCCACAGAGCCCCCTCACGCAGCAGACCTGCGACGGCGCTTACACACAACAGCACGCACCCAACGCGAGCGCGACAAAGGAAATGGCAAGACGCCTGGTCCTGCCTATTTTATCCAACTTTAATTATGTTTCAGGGTACGCTTTATAAGGCAAAGATATACATTATATACGGTGGTCCCTGCATACAATTTATTAATCAAGAAACATACACAGAGAGAAGACTTGAGTTTGAATTAAAAAATAAGAAAAACAATATTTGCTTAGTATCTACTACGTGCTAACCGCTCGGTGACAAACTTCCTTTTGCAGGTAAACAGACTTTAATTTAAAAGCATCTGCTGTCTTCCCATCTTTATTACTTCCTTTAGCATCGTAAAGCCAGAGAACATTTCATGTAATAATCAAAATAATGGCCACCAGTAATTAGGGCCACTTGTGCCGATGCTTCTCTAGGGTTACATCTATAATTGCATTTCATCTTCATAGCGGCTCTAAGACACAGTCGCATGGTTCTCATTTTACACATTAGGAAAACGAGAGATTAAGTGACTTGCCCGGGGTCACACATTTGGGTACAATTTTAGAAGGCCCAATAAAGTCCCTAAGCATGAGAATCTTTGCTTTCAATGAAGATGTTGACTTCAGAAAAGGGGGCATTTTTTTAAAGTGGTTGTTTTAACGACATTCACTTGCCCGGCCAGGCTAAAACTTTTGGTTAGAAAAAGCGTTGCCTTGGGTTCTTTCTTAATGGCCCTTTATCTGCAAGGGGGGCTGCTGTGACAAGAAAATGAGGCCTCAGTAAATGAAAAGCCGATTTAAAAAGACATTTCCAGACGGACACAGAAAACCAAGAGCATTCTAAGAATGTCGCCCGAAGACCCATCTGCCAGAGCCGGAGGAGAGGGAGCAGGCAAAATAAACAAGCAGGGCCGGCAGCCGGGCCTGGTCCCAGCCGCCTTTCCCTCAGCCCGGCTGGCTGCTGGCCCCCAGCGGCCCTTCCTTGGAGATTAAAGCAGAAGACTCCCGACTCCAGCCCATTCAAAGAAAAACATTCTAGCTCCTGCCTCTCCTGGAAGTGGCTCCCCTGCCCCCTCTTTCTTTTTTCTTTCCTTTTTTAAGACTAGAATATCAAAAGCTTTGCCCAAGAGGCAGAAAATCCACTTATCTTAAAAGGCTCACAGGCGCTTGTGGGAAACCTGCAGAGTCCGGCTCAAATCTGAGCCCACGATTATTTTCCTGTCTCTTTTATCAGTCAAGCAATGAGGCACCTCTGTGTAAATCCAAAGCCCAGCCTGTCAACAACAGCAACCGAGAGACCGAAATGGGCTGGAACTCACAACACGCTCTGGACCCCTCAGCACTGCACACCCGCGCCCTGCTCATCAAAGCCAAGCAGCCGCCTCCTCCTGGGTTCCCCCTCCGGTCCCGCACCCCCTCCCCCGTGCCCACAGAGGTCTCCGTTCAGCCATGAACAGTCCCCAACATCCCGTCTCCTCCACAGTCTGCCTGCCAGGTGGTAAAAAGCATGTCCTGTGAATAAGACCAATAGGGGCTTAATTCACAGCGATGTTTCTTTTAGGCTGTGTGGCCTTGGGCAAGTTACCTAACCTCTCTGTGCTTCCATTGCCTCATTTGTAAACCGAGGGTAATAAGGACCACCTCCCAGAGCTGTAGTGAGGGCTAAAGGAGCGAACATACGCAGGGCGGCTGGCATAACATAGATCTTAATAACTTCTAGTTTCCTCTCTAAAATGGGAATTAATCGCTCATCATTCCAATTTCGGGATCCTGACTTACTTGGAGTCATTGTGCTCCAGTGGAAATAATTAAGCTTCTGGCTCCCTTTAGGAGTACGCCGGCAAGCACTCGGCTATGCCGGCCCTGCTTCAGGTATCACCTGAACTCAGGGCTGCTTCTGTTCCCAGCCAGGACAGAGGGGGGCCCTGCCTCCGAGCATCGCAGTACAAGACGTATCCTTTTGTCCTTTCCTCACGGACCCCCTGCCACTCCACGGGCCTGCTGGTGCTTGTTGCTCCTTCTGCTTGTCCTTAAGAAAAAGTCATTGCTCCCTCTTCTTCCCCCTAACCTGCCCCTGCCCGGTACTGCAAGGGCACCTCACTCGGCTCTGCCTTATTCCCCTGGGGCCACAGGGGGGCGTCTGTGTCTCCTACCCCCGCGGGGGCTCAGACTGCTGGACGCAGCCGCCAAGCCCGCTCCTGTCCCACGGAGCCCAGGACGGTGTCTCAGGGAGAGCGGATGTGGCAAGGGAGGGCTGAAGACGCCGCTCATTACCCCCGCCTGCCCGAGATCCCGCCGCCTCGGCCTCCCCGGGCAGGAAGAGAAGACACAGCTGGGGGCCTTGCGGATCTCAGGGCCAAGTTTGGCAGCTGGGTCTGTCCTGAGCGACCGAGCCACAACTTCTGGCCTGTTCTGGGTCTCCTCCCGGAAAAGCAGAGAGCTTTCCTCTTCCAGATTCGCGGTTCTGCCTCAGCCAAGGTAAGTCATCTCGTTCGTGTACACGGCAGAAATCCTTCATGCCGGCTTGGAGCGGACAGCGCAAGTGAAACAGACCGGGTCCCTGGCCCAAGGCAGGGACACAGGCGAGCAGGTGAACGACCCCTGCAGGCAAGAAGGCAGCTTCACACAGAGACAGGGCGGCATCCCACCTCGGGGCCATCTCAGAGGGCGCCGGGAGGGCGCCGGGAAGAACCGAGTCTGGGAGGAGGAGTTTGCCCGCTGAAAGGAAGAAAGGGCCTTCCGGGCAGAGGGGGACAGGGCAGCCAGGCTTGACCCTGGGGTGACACCCACTGTGTGCCTGGGGAGACAGGGCCTTGCGGAGGCGGGAGCAAAGGGGGGCATGAGGGAACGGAGACAGCACAGGGACCAGGGGCCGGTGCAGGCCCACCCTGTCGAGCCAGGAGAGGGCCTGATGCCTGCCTGCGGAGGCGGTAGGTGACCCGTTGCTCAGCTGCCAGAAGGAGGCCGGTTGGAGGCACCGCAGTGCGCAAGACCGGAGAGGACCCCCACTCCCGCACAGGAGAGGGGGACGGGGCTTCAGGAGAGGAGGACGTCGGTGAGGTCACCGTCGCAGTGCAGGATGAAGGCGCGACAGGGCGGCTGAGGAGCTCGGTGCGCCGCAGGACCGGGGCCCTCCCGCCACCCCTGTTCTGGCTGGGCCCCCAGGAGCGACGCCTCGCTCCGTCTGGTCCCCACTTGCCTTTCTCCTCTGTCCCTTTTCCCCCTCGCATGGAGAAGTGACCATGGTGGGGAAGAAAGGGGGAGGGCTCTGGCGTTAGAGGCTGGAGTTCGAGGGCAGGAGAGACCCTCCCCACAGCGGCCGCTGGCCTCTCTGCTCTGCCATCTGCCTCCCCGTGGAATCGCATCCAAAACATGCCTGGCGTCCTGGGCCCTCCCACCTGAGGCTCCCTCTCTTTCCAGAAGACAGGCTCCGCCTAGAATCCCTGCCCACCTGCCAGGGCCTCACAAGAAGGCACCTGACCCAGTCTTTCTAGAACACCCCCAAACTCCCGCTCAGATCAGAGTCACCGCCAACCCCTGTTCCTTCCTCCTCCAACGTCCCTCTGGCAAAACAGAAGACTCCTTCAGCTGGCACGTAAGTGTGGTGGCTTGTTTCTGACGGTGAGTCCAAAGTTTGGGAAAACAACAGCAAAGCCCTCTTGGGATGGCCTCTTCGGCCTTGCTCTGTAGTTTCAACAGCTCGGCGGCCCTCTCGCCCCTCAGGAACGGCCAGCCCCAAATATACGACATGACCATAAAGACATTCAGACAGGCGGCAGAATGGCCGCCTATAAACTCTTTGACAATCCCCTGGCAGGAAACGGCATTCTAATGTAGATTCCTCCAGGTCTCCCCCCAGGAACTCATAAACCCACAGGTGTCCCTGGAGGAGGGACACCCAGGCCGAGGGCCAGACTTCGGGCTCATCTGTTGTCTGTCCAACCAAGGCTGCTCTGCCTGCGGCCGCGGCCCCGGCATCTGTTCACCTCACGAGAGATAGCACTTCCTCTGGGTGTCCTGAAGCTCTGCTGGACAGAACCACAAAGCCATGTCGTCGTTGTCACCCCCCGACCCCTCCCCCGCCACCTTCAGAAGCAAGCCAGGGAAGATGTGCAGGGAAGAAAAAACTACTGAAAAACTCTCCAGAACCAATCAGGCAGGATCCAAAATGTCATGTCTATTTCCTTAACAAATCGCTTTATACTTACACTGCCATGGCCTTTAGCTACCATTGCAAACAACAGAAATGAGAAACCTTATTCATTACGGACATTTGCTCACTTACTGTCCCCTGGCACCTCACTAAAAGCGAACGCTTTGCCATCATTCTGCTCAACACAGGCCGATGCCATCCTTGCCATGAAGCAAAAAGCCAACACAAACCTCTCCACCCCCCACAGCTGGTGCCCTGCTCCCAAGTGGAATGCACAGTGTACCTGGTCATGTCAGGCAGCCCACAAACCAGCCAGCCAAGAACGGGCGAGGCGGGAGTGTTCGCAGAGGCTGCCGTTCATCCCGAGGGAGCCCTTGTGCCCCTGAGCAGGGAGCCAAGTGCTCGGCTGGCCTGACTCCCAGGCTCCCTGGCCCTGCCCCGGGAGGCAGAGGCAGCCAAGCCAGCCAGGGAGATGGCTTGCAAGCCAGTATTTGCTCCTGAGGCTACCGCAACAGGGCGGCGGGGGGGCGGCGGGGATGGAAATCAGCAGCGGACCTTCCAAGTCAAGCTCCATCCGCCTCAGGCTCCTGCTGGGTCAGATGGCAGATGCCACAGCTTTCCGTCTTCTTAGCACTGAAGTGTTTTGCTGGGTCAGAGTGCTCTCCCCGCAGGTACATCCTGATCTGTCCGTCTAACCACCAGCAATTAAAGCGAGCCTTTTTAAACAACATGGAAGTCCTGTTCTTGGAGTGGAACCGCGCACTTCTGCGCAGAGAACAAAGGGTAAGGGAGAGCAGAGCTTTGCCACAGGAAACAGGCAGCCCGCTCTGCAGGCAGCGGAGGACGGCAGGTGCGGCGCGGGCGGGGGCCGGGGTGGGGGGCATGCGCCCCTTAGGATAACCAGCTCCGTGAATGCCCGGGGGAACGCCCGCGAGTCAAAGATGCGTGTTCCGGCACTTCTTCCATTTACATCATTCCTACCACTTTGGAAACCAAGCCTGCACCCGCTCTGTCCAGAGCTTCCTACACTTTCCCGTTGCAATTAACTCTTGTAAATTCAGGGATCCTGCGCACACTCGAGTTGAAAAAGGAAAGAAAATCACAGGAGCCCACTCCATTTGGGTTGGAGGCCATTACCTTTGGTTTTGTCTTCCCGCCAGGGTCTTTTATTTGCCTGCGCCACTGCCTTGGATGGGCCCCAGGCGTCTGCGTGTCATCTACCCTTCGTGACAAAAGTCAAAGAGCTGATTATTCTTGTTGGTGCACCCCCCCAGCTGTTTCTAGGCCCAGCCCCCAAAAGCACCAGGCGCTAGCGTTGAAGGAAGTGTCCCCATCGGAGACCTATTTATTCCTTCCTGGGCTGAGTGTTGTCTCCCCAAAAAGAGCCACGGAGGACCCCACCTGTCACCACAGTCACAGCAGGGGCTGGGGAGCGCCCCCTAGTGGTGCTGCTGGAGAAAGGCGAGGGGAGCCAAAGCAAACCCCAGGAGCCCTGCCCTGGCTTCACTCACCTGTGCAGACAAACCAGGTGTGAGGAGGACCCAGGGGGCTGGGGAGGAAGTGAGCACACTGGGAGTGCCTCCCGCCTCTGCCACGCCGAGCACCGTGTGACAGCCGGAGACTGGACGCAACAGCAATGCCCACGCGAAAGCAAGGCTTACTGCAGCCGCCGATATCCACATGCCTGAAAGCTCCGCGTGCAAAGAGCTTTTAATGACATGGATGGTCTTAGGATATAACATGCAGCAAGAAAAATGTTTTACACTGTCATGGAAATATAGAGCTAAAAATGCGCATAGAGATGTATACGTAATGAAACATATGATATTTTATTATATATAGAGATGTGTATAGACAGAGAGAGGGGGAGAGAAAACGGCAGCAGAGTTTTTAACAGAAGGGACTCTGGACCCAAGTTTGGGTTTGAATCCTGACTTTCTGGATGCCAGACCTTGAGCAACTTACTTCCTCTTGATGTGCCTCAGTTTCCCCCAATCTGAATAAAAGGGATAAAAGTACCTGTGTCTTAGAGTTGCCGTGGGGACTGCATGAATTACTATACATACAGTGCTTTGCCCAGTGAATGGCACATATGTAGTGTTTACTATATAGGCCATAATAATAGTGACATTATCATTACTAAGCTTTCAGCCTGGAAGTCAATAAACAAATTGCCTAAAATAGATTGGAAAAATGTCTATGGCAGCTGCCTCTACGTGAAAAAATTCAAGATTTTGTTCCTGCTTCTTTAATTCCTCCTATAATTTGCTAACTTTTTTAAGTGACATAAGTGATCACCAGGAGAAAATGAGGAAAGAAGGATGCGTCTTCGTGAGGTCTCTAACAAACAGCTTCCCGTCACTGTCCAAGTGGGCCGCTGATGTAAGCGGCACAGGGCCAACCCCCCTGACGCCGGCTGCACGGCAGCCGCTGCCGTGCGGCTTCCCTCCGAACTTAGAGGGGCAACGCTGTGCTCCAGGCCAATGCGTCTTCTTGCCACAAACCCTCCTCTTCTGTCCCCTGTCACGGCTGTCCTCCCCTGGCCACATCCCTTCCACGTTAGATAGCAGAAGCATAGACACAGTCACCATCCCAGCAGCCAATGCTGGCATTTGAGACTGTGATGTGGTGGCTTCTGTGACCGCAAAAGCTGGAAGCGATGACCTTTAAAAAGCAGACAAGTCTCTACCTGTCCAACAAAGTGCCCGGGAGACCATGATAACCACTATTTCCAAATAATAAATAGGCACTGGATCTTACAAAACATTCCCCTGGAGTTTTGCAGATCATTTTCGATCCGCTCTACTTGCCACCCCAAAGGGCCGCTGCCCACGGCTGCCAGTTCCGCACACTCCGTGCCTTACCTCCCCCTAGCCCTCCGTGCGTGCGGCGGGTTCTCCGCCTGGGCCCCGCTTGTCCTTCAGGACCTAGTTCGGACCTCTGTGGTGCAGCGAACCTGACCTCCCTAAACACACCTGGGCACTTCTGTCTTGGTTTAGGTTTAACAAACTTACGAAGCCAGACTAGAGACGGCACTTGTCACAAATGCGGGCCAAGTACCCAGCAGCAGCCAGCAGTCCCCGCAGTGCAGAGACGTCACTCTGAGCGCATTGTTTCTGGTAACACCTCCCCCCACTCCAAATGTTCATCTCCTGCTTGGCCTTCTGGCTGCACTTGGCTAAGCCGGACTCTCTTCCTGGGATAGGGCCCCTTGTTGGATTTTGTTAGTATAAAAGAAATCTATCATTCTTTTTTTCCCTCCCTCAAATATAGAATAAAATTTAAGCATAAATAATGAAATCTTCATTCCTGGCTTTTTTTTTTTTTTCTGGAAAGCAGACGAGTCCCAGGAAAGCTGCATCGCCGGTGCCTGGGTTACCATCCCAGCCCGGCATCCGCCTAGGGGCTGCGGGACCTTGGGACAGGCTCTCTGATTGTCTGAGCTCCCGCTTCCTGCACCATAAACAGAGATAACAAGACTCACTGAAAAGGGGTTTCAAGACGATTAAGTAAGATAATGTAGCAAAGTATTTAGCACAGTAGCTAGCACTTGATAAGTATTTTTCCATTTATCCTTTTTTTTTTTTTTTTTTTTTTTTTTGATGACTAGTCTGGCTGATTTCTTTGCTGGCCAGGCATCTGTCCCCTCATCTGTCTTGTGTTATTAGCCTACATTGAAATCCCCCTCCCTCGCCCATGGCTTCACAAATTTGCTACTTAAAAATTGCAAAATGAAGCACTGAGAGATGCAAAACCTCTTCCCTTTTGGGACCACCTCTTCCAGCTCCTACAGGCCAGGTGCCCCCTTGCTTCCCGTCCCCCCGTGAGCCTAACGCTGTCCTTCCCCCATTCGCCTGACCTCCCCTGGTGCCCACTGCACACCGGGCATTTGAGTGACTTCACTGTGCCGGGCCTCAGGTTCCCCAGTCACATGTAAATGATAATATGGGCAGCACAAGGTCACGGGGAGGCTTCAGTGACGTCAGGACCCCGAAGCCCCTTGTATACTGCCTGGCACACTGCACATGGCAACGACTAAGCCACAGCCCCACTAAGGGGACGGTCGCTTCCCACGTCGTGGGCACAGCCGAGCAGATCCTACGCTGACCCCTCTTCTCCTCTGAACCCAAACGTGCTGGAGCAAACACTTCCCGCGCCAGGCACAGTGAGTCCAAGCACAAACACATCAGAGGGAAAACGCAGCAAGCTTGCTTAAGCATGATTCATCACTGTCAGCTGCGGTAATTAGAAGTATTTTGGTTGGTTCTGGGTCACGATGACCCAGTTACTGCACTTTTTTTTTTTTTTCACTGCTAAAGTTTGTGGTGAGCCTTTAAACAAAAACAAAAGGCTGAGGAAAAGATAACGATTTTGTGCTACGGCTTTTGCTCAGAGTAAGGGCGTTATCAGCTCTGCCCTTCAGAAGCGAGGCTGGATCACAGAAGCCATTAACGCTCCATCTTTTATTTTACGAGACACAAGCGTAATTTTTTGACCACCCCCAAGACTGCGCTCCTAGAAACCTATCTCGCACATCTGTTTCTCCAGGACCCAGTGCAAAATAAGTACCATGAGGGTATTTATCGATGAAGTGCTCCTAGAAGCGGGTTCATTTTCAAGAAGAAAAAATGAGAATTAATGACCCAAAATAATGAATCTTTGCTGAATTCTCCAGGAATAAGTGAACATTTCCCACTTTACTCCTGCTAGTGTTGACTCATTAGCAAGGATAGTTTCCACCTATTTAATATGGCATATTCAAATAAGAAAAAGCATGACAGTAATCATGATCAGCAGAGAAAGTACACCTGAGGATAGAAAGTTCTGTCACTCACATCCTTAGCACCTAATATAATTGTAATTTTTTACCTGCACTGAAAAAAGACTGGAAGGAAATACCTTAAAATGTTAACAGGGGGATGTGTGGGGAAATGGAATTATTGACAATTATTTTTTCTTTCTAATTTTCTGTATTTTTCTACTTTATTATTATAACTGGTCACGTGCCATTTGTATGGATGACTTTTGGGGGACAATTAACGTCATGAGATCCCATTAAGTCTGAGTCCACTTCGGGGCGGCACAGCCCGGGACAGATGACCGAGGCTGCGCGCCGGGGTCACAAGGCCCCTCCCTGGCAGGCAGGTCGCTGCTGTGGCTCAGGGCTGGATCAGCCCTTTGGCAGCCAGCAGCTCCGACTCAACAGCTCCTTCAGGTAGCAACATGGGGAGCAAGAGTGCCCAGAGCAGGGCTCCAGCTGAGGGCCTGAGTCACTGCCTGGAAGCTGGGCAACCACCCGTCAACCCCGGCCCTCC